AGTCGACAGTGCTGCTAAAATACAAAAAGGCCACATTGCTCCGCCTCCACCCACCGAAACACCTGTCCCAGTTGAAGTCATAAAAGAAGAAGAGCATGGTCCTCCTATCGACCCTGCTGATCTGCCCAAAGGCCCTTTTCTTGAAGAAGCTGTCAACTCGGGCGTGTACCCGTACAACGCATTCAAACTTCCCTTCTCCCACCTCGAGCGCCCACCCAACGTCGACCCCACTATGGTCGCAACGCGCCTCCAGCGGCTCCTCATCCCCTCCATAATGCCGGCAGGCCTCGACGTACACCAGATCATCAACGAGCGCGATCGCTTCATCGAGGCACGCGTACAACAGCGCATTAAAGAGCTCGAGGAGATCCCAGCCACCATCGGTGATGGGAACTTTGATTCTCTGGCGGACGTCATCCTAGGCTCGCACAAGCAGGAGCCCACTAATGACAACCAGCAGCTCTCGACGTTGTCCCCACACGGCAAGCTACGCGCAATGATCGAGCTCAAGTCCCTCAAGGTGCTCGAGAAGCAACGCGCCATGCGTGCAGTTGTTGCAGAGCGCCTGATCCAAGGCACCCTGCTCCCACTCAACCGTGTGGACTTCAGACGGGCTCGCAAGCCCACACTTAGAGATGCACGCATGACCGAGCAGGCGGAACGCAAGCAACGTATCGACCGTGAGAGGCGTGCAAAACACAAGCACGTCGAGCAGCTCGGCGTCATCTGTCAACATGGAAGGGATCTCATCGGTGTGAACCGTTCTGCGCAGGACCGTGTCGTGAAGCTTGGGCGTGCTGTGTTGTCATTCCATGCGTTCACTGAGAAAGAGGAGCAGAAGCGTATCGAGAGGATATCGAAGGAGCGTTTGAAGGCGCTTAAGGCGGATGATGAAGAGGCATATATGAAGCTTATCGACACGGCGAAGGATACGCGCATCACCCACTTGCTGCGGCAGACGGATACCTATCTTGATTCGCTCGCACAGGCTGTCGTGGCGCAGCAGAATGAGTCTGGTCCCTTGGATACGAACTTTGACCAAGAGGAAGGCCCCGCAAACGAGGCCACGTTCGGTGCCCAGGTCAGTGCTGATGCCCAGGACGACAAGGGCAAGGTGGACTACTATGCTGTCGCGCATCGCATTTCAGAGAAGGTCATGAAGCAGCCTAACATTCTTGTCGGCGGTCAGCTCAAGGACTACCAGCTCAAGGGCCTGCAATGGATGGTCAGTCTTTACAACAACAAGCTCAATGGCATCCTTGCAGACGAGATGGTGAGCAATGTCATTCAGGTTCTTTATATTATATCTCACAGGATCTTAGGGTCTCGGTAAAACCATCCAAACCATCTCGCTAGTTACCTTCCTCATTGAGGTGAAGAGACAACGCGGCCCTTATCTTGTCATCGTGCCTCTGTCAACAATGACGAACTGGTCTGGCGAATTTGCAAAGTGGGCGCCAGCGGTGAAAATGATCTCGTACAAGGGCAACCCTGCGCAACGTCGCAACCTCCAAGGCGACCTGCGGATGGGCCAGTTCCAGGTTTTGCTCACTACATACGAGTACATTATCAAGGACCGACCTGTTCTCAGCAAGCTCAAATGGGTTCACATGATCATCGGTAAGTGGGTTTGGGCATTTTGTCGGTTCTTGGCTGCTCATCTTCGGTATCAGACGAGGGACATCGCATGAAGAACACCCAGTCGAAGCTTGCGCAGACGCTCACGCAATACTATCATTCCCGCTACCGCCTCATTCTCACTGGTACCCCCCTGCAGAACAACCTTCCCGAACTTTGGGCCCTCCTTAATTTTGTCCTTCCCAAGATCTTCAACTCTGTCAAATCATTTGATGAATGGTTCAACACGCCGTTCGCGAACTCGGGTACAGGGGACAAGATCGAGTTGAACGAAGAAGAGGCACTGCTCATCATCCGGCGGTTGCATAAGGTGTTGCGGCCGTTCTTGTTGAGAAGGTTGAAGAAAGACGTGGAGAGCGAACTTCCAGATAAAGTGGAGAAGGTGATCAAAGTCCGCATGAGCGCCCTGCAGAGTCAGCTGTATAGGCAGATGAAGAAGCACAAGATGATCGCCAATGGAAAGGACGCGAAGGGGTACGTTGTTTTTGCTTTCGGTGGAACGGGCGGGCCATAGTGCTGATTTCTTTGTTTTCTAGCAAATCTGGAGGTGTGAAGGGTTTGAGCAATGAGCTTATGCAGTTGCGCAAGATTTGTCAACACCCGTTTTTGTTCGAGAGCGTCGAGGACAAGGTCAATCCCACCGGACTTATCGATGATAAATTGGTAAGGTCGGCCGGCAAACTCGAGCTCTTGTCGCGTATCCTTCCCAAGTTCTTTTCAACGGGTCACAGGGTGCGTCGCACTCTATAATCGCCCGCGCTGTACTGATCGCCGTGTCTATCAGGTCCTTATTTTCTTCCAAATGACAAAGGTCATGGATATCATGGAAGATTTCTTGAAGATGATGAGCTGGAAGTATCTTCGTCTTGACGGTGGTACGAAGACGGATGAGCGTGCCTTGCATGTACAGCAGTTCAATGCAAAGGATTCGGAGATTAAAGTCTTCATCTTGTCAACACGAGCTGGTGGTTTGGGTCTCAATTTGCAGACTGCAGATACGGTCATCATGTGCGTTATTCCTTGTGGTTGCATCGTTCTCTATGCTGACGCGTAGGTTTGCAGCTTCGATAGTGACTGGTGAATGAGCTTCTGGCTATTATTTGGACAGGAGTACTGATGATAATGCCCCAGGAATCCTCATGCTGATCTTCAAGCTCAAGATCGTGCTCACCGTATCGGCCAGACCAAGGCTGTCCGGATCCTCCGTTTCATCACGGAGAAGAGTGTCGAAGAAGCCATGTATGCTCGCGCGCGGTACAAACTCGATATCGACGACAAGGTCATTCAAGCCGGTCGTTTCGACAACAAGTCGACGCAGGAAGAGCAGGAAGAATTCTTGGTGGGTGTTCCAACTCTCTTACACATTGTAACGGATGACTAAATGGGTGGTATGCAGCGGTCCATCCTCGAAGCAGACCAAGAGGAGGAGAACGAAGAAGCCGGTGACATGAACGACGATGAACTTAACGAGATGTTAGCGAGAAACGACGAGGAGGTTGAGATTTTCCGCAAGATGGATCTCCAGCGAGAACGGGATGCGTTAGACGCGTGGCGTGCGGTCGGAAACAGGGGGAAACCGCCATTGCCGCTCATGCAGCTTGAAGAGCTACCTGAGTGCTATCAGACGGATGAACCGTTCGAGCCGAAGGAAATTGATGATGCCATTGAGGGCCGTGGTCAGCGCCGTCGTAATGTCGTCAATTATAACGATGGTCTGAGTGATGAGCAGTGGGCGATGGTACGTCTTTTAGGATGTTGCGAGGTATGCATGCTGACTGGGAATTTAGGCTGTGGAGGACGGCGAGGATTTGCAAGAACTCGTTGACCGTGCCCGTGGCAAGAAAGAACGACGAGCTGCCAACAAGCTTCTCAAGGATACCGATACACCTGGTCGTAATACTCCAGCGTCAGACGTGGGTGTCGGGCGCAAGGGCAAGAAGGGCAAGGGGAAGATGACTGCCAATGACTACGACACACCTGGTGCGGCTGGCAAGCGGAAACGTGGGATGAAGTCCATGTCGGTGACGCCTTCGGTAATCGATGATGAGGAGGAAGAGCGTGATATGGTGAGCTGATCCTGAGTGTTTATCAAAAAAAGAATCTCATGATGGCGCGGGCATATAGAAACGACGCAAAACGAAGGCGGGTGACCTATCGCCTGCAATAAGGGATAAGATGAAGAAGGCTTTCAATGAGGTTCTCAAAGCGGTTCAGGCTTGTGAAGACAAAGATGGCCGGAAACGTTGCGATCTTTTCCGGGAGCTTCCCGACAAGAGAGTGAGTAGAAGGGATCCGGTTTCATACTGCAGCGATATACTGACGATACAATCAGGATTATCCTGATTATTATCAGTTAATCACACATCCGATTGCCTTGTCCACACTTCGAAAGCGGGGCAACACTGGATATTACAAAAGCATCACGCACTACAAAGAGGACTGGAAGCTCATGTTCAACAACGCACGGACGTATAACCAGGAGGGTTCGTGGGTATACATAGATGCTGAGGAGATGGAAAAGGTGTTCTACAGCACTTTGGAGAGAGTTACTGCAGGGACGGGACTACCTGGCGCCTCACCAGCTCTAGGTGGACCCTCAAGTTCCGCAGCATACGACTCTGCGCTTACACCCATGGATGAGGATGAGCGGCCGCAGCGGGGCAGGGCTCGGAGTGCTGGTCGGAAACAGGTGATCAGCGATGATGAATACCTGACGCCGAGTGATGATGATTAGATACACCATCCTTTGTCTTTTTTTTCGTTTTGTTCTTGCCTCCATTTTTATGACAGCATCCTTTTGTGGAGTATTTGTATTGGTACACAATATCACGTATGTATGATATCTACAGGATGGTACCACCACCACTCGGTGTGAAAGACGAAGCCTGCTCTTGGCCTCTAGGATTCGATTTAGTTAGTTGACGATGATTTAAACCCTTCAATCAATACAGTGTGAATACACCGGGTGCAGGACGCTTCAAGGATATATGTGGGGAATGCGATATCGACTCCATCACTCCAGAGTACTTGTCGACATGGGACCTTAATTCAATGATGCGAGACACAGTTGTACCCAAAGCGCCAAGTGCCGGTGCCGGTGCCAGTGATCGCTGGTCCATTGATTTACAGTAGAAGGGACATAGTACGCGTCGCATTGTGCTCATAGTGATAAAATTAGAATATTATGTAATTTTGTATTCTACTACATCACACGTGACCAGACATCACGTTACCTATCACCACTTAAACCCCTTTGATTTCAAACGAAAAGTTACATTTTAGCCTCAATTATTGTCCCCTATTCTGACTCCCATTTTGTATCGCATTCTATCGTCAACTTGAACCTCTGTTGTGAGATTGATGTAAATATTTCCTTTCATTATCTCCTTTCTCGCTCTCTGACCCGAATGACAATTCCTGGCGAGTTTCAAGTTGTAGCAATGGCCGAAGGAACTTGGGAGAAGCTGTCCCAGGTCGCTGTCCCGGGTGCTGAATATGATTCCCCTGAACGCCAGCCCCATCCGAAATGTTTGAAAGAGACCCGAGTGAACCTTCTCAAATCGATCTACGGATTGTTGGACAAGCGAGAGATGAGCCAGATCATTTGGCTGCATGGCACGGCAGGCGTCGGGAAGTCTGCCGTGGCATTCACTGTGGCCAAGAGGATGAAAGGTCTGATGATGACGGAGAAGACGAAAATCGAAACAAGGCTCGCGGGAACATTCTTTTTCGCGCGCAAGCACACGAAACGCACCACGGCCGGACATTTCTTTGCGACCCTTGCTTACCAGCTTGCGAGCAATTTTCCTAGCGTCAAGAACGACGTGAACAAAGCTATCCACGAGAATCCTGCGGTTCTAGACTCCAGAAAATCTCTTCGCGACCAGATGATGGCGTTATTTCGCCGACCTCTCTCGCACCTGCAATCCAGTCTGCGCGAGTGTCCGCCTCCGGTGTTTGTTGTCGATGCCCTCGATGAATGCCAACCTGAAACCGTCGCCGATCTGATCTCCCTCCTCGGGGAAGCTCTTCGTGATCCTGAACTTCCCGTGATACATATTCTGCTCACCAGTTGCTTTGAAGAGCATATCCGTAAAGCCATTCAAAAAGAAGAGATGCGCACGCTGGTGCATGAGATACCGGTGAACACTTCTGGGGAGAGCGTTGCTGGCACTATTTCATTAGACGGCGAAGATGTGGACAACGACATCTGTACATTCTTGCAGCATTCCTTCACGGAGTTGCGAAATCGCCATCCTGATTTCCCTCAGCCCACTGTGGATAATCTTATCCGGCTGGCGAACCGAGCTGGCAGACGTTTCATCGTGGCGTCTACAATGATGAAGTTCGTCGATGACGGATACAATGACCCCCGGGGTCGCCTTGAACTCATGCTCGAGCTGACCAATGAACTGCTACCTGGGACGGAAGTGTACGGGCTATACAACCGCATTCTCTCCACCTGTTCGAACCCCAATCGTGCATACCAGCACTTGTCCTTTGTTGCTGCTCTCGCAGACCCTCTGCCCATTTTACAAATCTCGAAGCTCCTTGGTCCTGGTCAAGGCAGCGATGTTGAGACCACGCTGAAACAGCTACGTTCTTTCATGAATATTCCCTCTGACAGCAGCGAATCCGTGAATATCTACCACTCGTCCATTCGGGACTATGCTTCAAACTTCTCAAACTGCAGCCTCCGTGGATTACAGCCCATCCCACCACATTCCATGCTTGCCTATTCATCTTTCCGCTTGATGATTCAAGACATTCCAGCACGCACTGCTCTCATGGATGCGCTCCTAGAATTGAAGTCGCAGAATCAGGCTACGCAACCCCATGACCCCCGGAACTTGCAACAGTCGTTAGCCTTCATCGTTGAGCCACCGGAGCCGCTGCAGGTCCTGATGAGACTGTTATGGCTTCGGGGAGCTCGCGGGTCGGGTTTGCGGTCCTGGCTAGGGACTTTGGACGGACGTGCGTGGCTGCAGACCCAATGTGGGGAAGACTATTTGCAGACACAGGAGGGGGAAGACTGGCTTCACACCTGGGCCGGGAGGGATTGGTTGCAGACCTACGCGGGACGCACTTGGTTGCAGACAGAGAGAGGGCGAGGGTGGCTGCAGAGTGGGCCAGGGCGGCTGTGGACTCAAAGACGGGGACAAGTCGCTGGAGACTCTGGCGGGGATATGCCATTGGAGACATGGACCGCGAAAGCCTCTTTGGAGACCTTCAGCGAGCAACGCTCGCTGCAAACCCGGGATGGGGGAGAGCTTCAGACCCTGACCAGCCAAGTCTGGCTGCAACAAACCCCGAGTGGCCGAGAATGGCTGGAAACTCAGAGGGGGCGAGGGTGGCTCGACACCGAGAGCGGGCTACAATGCCCGGACACCAAGTACGGGCAAGAGTGGTCACAGACACCGACCGGGATGGAGTGGATAGAGACATCCAGCGGGGGGAAGTGGCTGGACACATCCAGCGGGGAAGAGTGGCTGGACACATCGAGCGAGGGGGAGTGGCTAGACACATCGAGCGGGAGCGTGTGGCCGAGCGAGTGGCTGGAGGCACAGAGCAGGAGGGAGTGGCTGAAATCACAGAGCAAGATGGCGCAGATGAAGCAGCTGGACACACCGAGCGGGAGGGAGTGGTTGGAGACACCGAACGGGAAGGAGTGGCTGGAGACACCGCACGGGAGGGTGTGGCTGGAGACACCGAACGGGAGGGTGTGGCTGGAGACACCGAACGGGAGGGAGTGGTTGGAGACACCGAACGGGAGGGAGTGGCTGGAGACACCGAACGGGAGGGAGTGGCTGGAGACACCGAGCGTAAGGGAGTGGCTGGAAACACCGAGCGGGACGGAGTGGCTGGAGACACCGCACGGGACGGAGTGGCTGCAGACACCGAACGGGAGGGAGTGGCTGCAGACACAGAGCGCAAGGGAGTGGTTGAAAGCACCACGCGCGGGGGAGTGGCTGATAACACCGAGCGCGCGGGAGTGGCTGGAGACACCGAGCGGGATGGAGTCGCTGAAGACACCGAGCGGGATGGAGTGGCTGCAAACACCAAGCGGGATTGAGTGGCTTGAGACCCAGAGTGAGCGCAGCCGCCTGCAGACCCTAACTAAACTGCAAAATCCAATCGGACATACATGGCTACACACCTTCCACGGGCGAGAGTGGCTCCTGACCCAGAGTGGGAGAGAGTGGTTACTAATCCAGAGCGCGCAAGAGTGGCTCCTGACCCCAGGAGGGCGAGAATGGCTGCACAATACTCCGGGCGGACAAGAGTGGCTGCGGACCCCAGGTGGGCTGCAGACTGAACATGGCCGAGAATGGCTACAGACGAAGAATGGACAAGAGTGGCTGCTGACCCTGAGCGGGCGAGAGTGGCTGCAGACCATGGGCGGACGAGAGTGGCTGCAGACTCAGAGAGGACGAGAGTGGCTACAGACCCCCCGTGGTCAAGCATGGCAGTTGACCCCTGCGGCGTCCGTCTGGGTGACAATGGAAGACTTCTCGAGCACGTTGGAAGCAATCCGCGAGTGCGCGATCACCCCACGATTGCCTTCATCATCAGCTTTTCAAGCAATCCAGGAGTTTAAGAGCTTACCAGATTTCTTGATGTTTCCGGCGTTCCTGGTATTAAGGCCCCAGGATCACTCCACTTCCGCATCCCTACAAGATTGTCCAGACATCGAGGTTATCCACGCTATGACTGCGTTCACAATTTTTGCAAACGAAGCACGGGATCGAAGTCGATCATCTTCTGACGCCCTGAAGTATGCATGTCAAAACTGGTTCTTCCATCTCTCGCGAGCTCTTAGTATAACGGACGACACGCTCAACTGTGCATTCAAGGTCTTCTGGGATCGCCACCTCCTCTGCTGGCTTGAAATGCAGTGGTGTTCGAAGGGCTTGCAGTCCTGCCTCCTTATGTTATCCGAAGGAGAGAAACTTGCACAGGTGTGTTCTCAATGATTTCGGTGTATTCAGCACCTGACCTGCGCACGAAGGAACGTCTCATTGAAGCTACAGGGGCATTTCAGTCCCGGGTCTGAAACTGTTGATTTTATGTACTGGATGTCATGCTGTCTTGTTATTTCGCGTTGATATTTCTCTTTCACGTCGCTTGTGTATTTTCAGAAATTGTCATGTTGAAGAAGATTGAATTGTTGCGAAGGTTGAGTGGGGCGCCGCCCGCCCCTTCCCCTGCATTGATATTCTTATTTCACATCGCCTATGTAGAATTTGAAATGTTAAATAATATTTGTGTTCCCAGTTGCAAAATTCCATCGCGAACTTGTATTAAATGACATGAAAAGAAGTTGACAAACTCTCCTACCGTAGTTTGAACTTTGCTGACTCCTCCGAACTCTCGATCTATCTTCGCCACACACGGTAGTTGAACGTTGAGCGCTCGAGCAGAGGCGTCAGCAGACTGACAGAATGATCACTCGCTTGATCAATGATATGGTGGAACACTGCAGCTGAAGAGCATATCAAAGGCGAATGTGGCGTAATGATCAAGACAAAGTTAAACTCCTCTCCGTGCAGCAACCCCTGCCGAAATCGTGGCTTTCGTCGAAACGAATAAGATATGCAATAGTATCTGAAGACGACTTGAATTAATTTATGTAATGAACGAAGTTGCTATCTTTCAAGTTTCAATATATAGCTTGATCATTCATATTTACAACGTACCAATGATATGCACGCACTGGCAGGACCTATCTTCAGATTAAGATGGATAATAATCGAGAAGCAAATCCGCACAGAAGACTCAGAGCCAACATCTTCATACGAGGTGTGGCACGTGCATCGTGACAGGTACAGACATTAAATGTCGTGTTGCGCATCATCAAAAAAGCCTGGTGGTACTTAGTCCGAGTGGATGGTCAACGTTTCAACGTTCTGGAATCTGGGCTGAACATCACATCGGCACAACGAACTGATTACATAACTGAAAAGAACTCGCTTTCAAGAATAGGCAACACCTCACACGCATAACCAGGCCTACGGTACTCAGGCGGCCTCTCTGTATGTATATACAGTTCGAGTTTTCAAAATTTTGTTGGAAAGCACGACGCTCAGTGTTGGTGAACAACGACTACATTCACAATCTAAGTACCTGTTGGAAAGCACGACACTAAGACAACTCTAAGTAAGTGTGAAACAAACAGCAAGACAAACGAGACGCGTACCTCAGTGTTGGTGAACAACGACTGAGGTACGCAAAGAGCAAGATGACAAGGTATTTGAATGTTACAAGATACGGGGCTCGAAGAGCCGGAGAAGTCAATGACCATGCGGCGCCAAGCGCGACGCATGTGGTACGAAGTGGCGAGGTTGAACAATACCCTAAAGTAATGTTAATCAGTCCCAAAACCGAAACCCCAACTCCAATAAATTTCACGTCCACTACACCTGCGAGCGAGTTCCGATTCCACTCCATGCAGCCAGCGCCTCAGCGCTCAGCAGTCACTTGAATCTACTTGAACTAGCTTTTGTTGCGATATAGCTCATTCACATTTACAACGTACCATTCACGCAGATGCTGTTTTCGCGTGATAAGATGGGCGATAATCACGCATATTGATGTGTTGAAGGAATTGGATCTGCACAGAAAAGCCCTCTGACAAGACGAGCTGCGCAGCGGCAATCCGAGTCACTTGAAATATGTAATGTTGGATCTATCCTTCTACTTTTTCTGCCAGTTCACTGATGATCTAGGGTTGTCACATCAATCACGATTTCTCAACCAGGACATCACTGGTAAAACCTGATGGGCCTCTCGTCCCCGCACCAACTCCATGATACAAATCAAATATTCTGCGCTAACCATTTCTAGAATCCTGATGATACGATAGACCCCAATTTCCGAGGTAAGGCCGAGAGGATACACATGAAGTGACAGATGGTGATGAGAGATAATAAGATGTGTTCGTAGGGAGGTATTGCCGGTAGCCAGGCTAGGACGTGAGTTTGTTTGCTTCATGTGGATCTCACCTATTTTTGAGGGCTGAGCGCTGAATTTTCTGGTCTGGCGTCAGGCTGACGCAATGTGCATTTGTTGAGTGACCTTGGATGAGCTGCTATGTTCCCCAGGACTATGCTGGACGAGGTGACAACTTTTTTGATGGTCGTCCCATGATCAGTGCGTAAATGAAGTGGTACTGTGCCTCTACTACTTGAGCTTGAGCCCCTGGATTGATTGACCTTTTTTCATGCAAAAATATCTACTTCAGCCAATTACATATGACGGGAATAGCCATCATCTCTTGATCTCATTTCAGCGATCCAAGCACTGGATGGCGACGGGATAACTAGCACAAATGCCATCGTCATACGCCCACCAAGTTTGCCTCCCACCCACAACTATTATCTACCGATATGACCCTAGTCTCGAATGATCCCTCTTTGTGGCCGATTATCAATGCATATCGTCTTTCAAGCTATTTTTCGGGTTTGTAGAGAACAGTCGGATGTTTAAGCTGACTCGATCTAACCTTGGCTGCGGTTTCGCAGTTGCTGCCTTTGTTGGAGTGACGTATGATTGGGGTGAGCATGATAATATTAAAGGACTACTGATATCTTACAAGTATTTCTAGCACTTACATTCGGACAAGAGGTATGTCAATGCTATGACCTGAGCAGCCATCTCGCTAAGAATGCTTATGTAGGTTGAATTGGTCTGGGTGAGTAGAGACGTCTCGTGTCAGAGGAACACAATGAAATACGTTCCATTACAGAGGCAACGCTGGTCCCTGATGACAGTTCTGTATCTCGGTGTATGTAGCTTGTTTGTTATGGTTGCTATGTTATACTGACTTGAAAGTATCCTAGGTGCGCTACCTTGGAATCTTATTGGCTGCGTAAGTTCGGAAGGCTAAACATTCAGTGTTGTGCTGATCGTCTATCTCTCAAAATCAGCCTGATCATGTTGAGTATGTCTCCTTAGTATATTCGCTCTATTTGCTTCTTCTGACCAAATACATACAGGTAGTGTTCCGACTATCTCGCTGACAGATACAGTGAGTCTTCTGCACAGATGCCTGCTATTCCCCTCCAATTAACCGTGGTGCCCTGTAGGGGTGGGTAATGGTTCTTTACTAACTTCTTAGTTCACTAATGACTGCCACACTATACTGCCACAGATGTGAGTCTGGAGTGTGCAGTGCGAGGCCGATCACTGACTGGATTCATCAGGCTTTATTGTGTACCTCATACAGAGTTGGACGGATTTTTTGGTATTTGCAATGCTGTTAGGTGAGCTTGGCAACTGCGAGACCTCAGTGATATTGATTAGACTGAAACATGCTACAAGTTATTATCATCACTTGGTTATATGCCATGCATCAACGATCTAGAAAAATCTTGATATTTCTCATCGTCACCTTCCTGGCTGACAACATTTTTGACGGAGTGGTCGGCGTAATGATGACCCTACATGTTTCAGGGGGTACGTTTGATTGTGGATGAAAAAATGTGCATGTAGCTCAATGATGAATACCAGAGGAACTCATTCTCTCCGGCATCTATCAGTGCTCGATTGACTATACGGAAGATGTCTCACTTATGGCTTCCGTTACTTGGATACTCATCACTGTGTTGGATGTCCTCGCACTATGTCTTGCAGTCTGGACTACTGTAAAACACTTCCGTGAACTGCGACGACATTCGGCAGGAGGGATTATCGAGGACCGTTTTACGGTGCTGATGAAAATGCACGTGGTTTACTTTGCAAGGTGAGCTCATATTATGATTGTTGTTCCTTTTTTCGATTGAAGGATTGGACATATTAGTGTCGTTGCCGTTTCTTGCTTCCGGCTCATTGCTTTCTCTCCGGCATTCTCAACGGCGGTATGTCAATCTTTCACTTGCCTCTACACGCTACCACAGTTTATCATTTCTATAGGAATATTCCCTGGGCGTTCAGCTTTATGTTGGGTTTTGTCAGATTTTGGACGTTGTGCAGTTGTGCATGCTGGGACCCCGCCTGATTCTTGGCATTCGAGAATTTCACGCTAAACTCGTGACCGACTCTGACGCAGCAACCAGCATGACCTCAATCGCTTTCCAAGAGCATGTACATATAACTGGCAGTAGTGTATGAAGGAGGGTAGAACGTACATCCTGTAACAAATCATTCAAACACTTTAGGATGGTGCTATCACTCTCGCATTTAGCCTGGACCATTGTGAAGCATTGATCACATGCATATTATAGAGTGAAAATAGTATGCAGTGATACAAGAATAACCCACTAGGTAGTGTCTGCTATACTAGGGCTTCAAGCTTCAAGCTTTACCCCGCATGACAATAAGCAATGTATCCAAAAACAAAACATAGTCTGTGATGCTCGGTGAAGGCAACAATAGTCTAGTGCTCTGCAAGGAGCAGGAGAAAATACTTATTTATTCCCACTTTGCGATGGTACTGATTAAGATTATATGGTGTTCCAAATTGTAAGTAGATTTCAAGGAGATAATTTTCGCTGTAGTATTTAGTCAAGTGATTTGCTATACGTGCTGACAGGTGGAGTGTCATATACCGGACTTTGAAAAACATTTCAAAAAACCAAAGCCTGTAGGCCCATCACTAAATCCCACCGTTCCCCACAAACCATTATATACACATTATCATGTAGATAATAACCATATTCGGCTAAAATATGACAGTGCGAGATATATAGGCATATAAGTGTTTAGAACGCTATCCCCTATGACCAATGATTGTCATGAATCGTGTAGTGACAAATACTAGTACTGTTTTGAAGTGATGAAACATGTTCAACGAAGTGTTTCTCATGTAGAATTTCTAGCACAGTGGCTCTCCTGTCCAATAAGTAACAAAAATATAAATTCTTGCCATCTGTACCATCATACAGACAATTGCTTCAAATACTGGTATTATGATATTATGGGTTTTATACTTGATTGGCCAGGAAATCATATTGGATGGTATGCGAGTTATACAAAAATGCTTGGTACAATACACGTGCTCTACCCCAATCTCATTGTCAACACCACCTGCAAGAATTTGACAATAACAGACAGCGGGTAACCACGACAGATATTGTGAGCGTCTTGAAGTCCAACGAAAGCAAGACATAGTGGTCCATAAGCGGGGATTCGCACCAGGCATCACGGACTCGAATAAAGTACAGCGTTATAGGATCGGGCTCGGTGGTATAAGATCGAATTTGGCAGGCCGCAGTACTATAGAATGTGATGGGATCGAGTCTGGCCATAGAATCCAGTTTGTGGCCTTGGAATAAAGGTTGGCCATGGGACCGAGTTTGAATGTAGGATCGAGTTCGAATGTGGGATCGACTTTGGCCATATTGTCGAAGACCAGCGTTCCTTAGACAGAAACATAGACCACAATGCTTGTTGCCGAACCATACCATACGGCACGACTCCCTGGACGGAGACTCGAGAAACTTGAAGGAAGTAGCGTTAATGAGTGACTAGAGGCGGAGTAGGCGATAGTGGGGGTTATAAATAAAGTCAGAGTCGGATCCTTACTTATGAATGACCAGAATATATGCTTGCCGAGCGGTGACTGAGGTCTTGACCTCTGCCAATGGAGTTGTACCTCATTCATCTTGAGATCCGGTAGTCAGAGTGTTTCGAAATAGGAAAAGAGGGATGGAGCAGGGTCGGAGCCGGGTAAGGCTGCGAGCTTCGGTGTCAGTGGTAGACAACAAAGACTAACGGAGAACTGAAACTATCCACTTTGGACGTCGGTTCAGGACAAATGACTAACAACTCAGACCGTATCAGTTCACTTTGAAGCAAAGTCACACTGATATGAAGTCCTGGACTCTCGTACATTAGTGATGTTCCCGGCCCGGCTTGGGCCCATGCAAGCCGCAGTCCGCATGCTGAATCAATGCTTGAACTCCACCATGCCGTTCCCAATGCCACGAACACCATGCGCAAACGCCCAGCACACGTCAGCGACTGCTGATGTGGCTCAGACGAATACGGACGATGGACGAGAGCAGAAGGGAAGAAGACAAGGAGGAGAACGAGAACGAGAGAGAGGAGATGGACGAGACAAGCAGGAAGACATCAAGTAATATGTAAAATAAATAAAAATTGCTTAAAAACACACCATGCAGATGATGACAAGTGAGAACGTGAATGAGCGAGAATCATGAGAACGAGCGTCGAGAGTGGGCTCGAGTCCAACACAGGAGACAGAGAAGTCTTGCATTGTTTGTTGAATGACAGGGAGGGGAGGAAGTCTTCGTTCGGCGGAGCTTGCTGGTGCCGGCGTGCCGTGTTGTTGTTGTTGAGGCCTGAGGGACGAGAAGGATGACGGCGACGGCCTGCCTGTGTTGATATACTTGGCAATAAGCTCGAGGTTGGGTTCGGGCTGTTCCCTTTTTTCGCCTAGGTCCAGTATTGTTCAAGTTGTAGATGCTAGAACACTGGCTTGGAATCTAACATGGGGTTATAATGGTTTATCAGCAAGAAGCTAGATGAAGAAACAGATCAACACACAATCATGTGACCCGTGTCGTAGATGCGCAATGTAGAACTTGGAACACTAGATTAGCGGTCGATATGGGTTTACATTTGATTCATCAAAACAAAAGGCAAAAGACAAGATAAGTAACACATCACAAATCTAAGCCGGTGCTATACACACCACGACATAGGCATATAAGGGGAAATCAGACATCGCCCAACTTATAAGGTGAATACTGTCATATCATGCTTAGTGGTTTTTAGTGATGCCAGCGCGCGTCATGCCAGAATATCAAGCGCTGCAAACTGAGATAGAGGTAATCGACGAAGACTCATTGTTGCAGCTCTACTGGTGCGAAACATGCTGACTCGAGAGTCGATAAGAACACGTCAACCACAACGACTATGCCTTTGCCGTGTACACTTTTCAAGTTTCAAATCCGCGGATGAATACATGGCAAGCTTTATTTGGATGCCAAGACTATCGAGCCTTTATTACGACCATCCACTTTGACGTGGAACCATTCACATTCATGCTCACCTTCAGCTTCACGAGACACCGGTATCATGCACCCATTCCTCGTGACGACAATCAGTCAGTATGCTTATCATCCTCATGTCGAACATCGATCTCTTGATGCCGGAGGTGCCCCTCGACCTCATATTGTACGACTTGAACTCTACACCTAGCATCTTCAGCAATATCGCTTTGACATTATTCCTTTGTTTTTAGCATCCTTGCGCACAACCGTACCATATACCTTGAGCCACTCGTTGCGATGCTTAAGGAGCGCTGTATACTTACGTCGTTGAATCAAGAGTATTGTCTCAACGTTTCAGAGGTCCATCGTTTCAGCCCGAAGTCTCATTTCTCAATGTCTCTCTGTCTTATCTTCAAGTCTCGATCTTTCATGCCCCTTCAAACTTGCATTTTGCGCCAAGTTGTTATTGTGCAATCGCAACTCAGACTTAACATCATTAAATCCACACGTCATAACTTTTTGAGTAGATCACTCACTGGCACCTGCATCTGGTCTTGAAAGGATATGTGCATCACCCACTTACTGCGTCAGACGGGCGCTCGTTAGCCCAGGCTGTAGGGGCGCAGTAGGAGTCTGGCCCTTTGATCAAGAGGAAGTCCCCGCCAATGAGGCCACGCTTGGCGCCCAGTTCATTGCTAATGCCCCGAAGAAGACAAGGGCGAGGTGGACTCTATGCTGTTGCACATCGCATTTCAGAGAAGGCCATGAAGCAGCCTGGCATTGCCGGAAGTCAGCTTAAGGGCCCGCAATGGATGGTCAAGCTCAATGGTATCCTTGCAGACGAGATGGTGAGCAACGACATCTTGGTTATTATATAGCATCTCACACGATCGCAGGGTCTCGGTAAAACAATCCAAACCATCTCGCTGGTTACGGTTACCTTCTTCATCAAGGCGAAGAGACAACGCGGTCCTTATCTCGTCATTGCGCCTCGGCCCTCTGGCGACAATGATGAACTGGTCTGGCGAATTCGCAAAGTGGGTGTACAGTATAAATCTCGTACAAGGGCAACCCTGCGCAATGTCGCAACCTTCAAGGTGACCTGCGGATGGGCCAGTTCCAGGTTCTGCTCACTACACACGAGTACATCATCGAAAACCGGCCTATCGTCTCAGTAAGCCCAAATGGGTTCACGTGATCATCGGTGAGTGGGTTTGAGCGTTTCGTCGGCTCTCTGTTGCTCATCTTCGGTGGTAGACGAGGGACATGACTGACTCGCCATCGCATGAAGAACACCCAGTCAAAGTTCTCGCAGACGCTCACGCGATACTACCATTCCCGCTACCGTCTCATCCTCACCGGTACCCCCCTTCAGAACAATATTCCCGAACTTTAGGCCCTTCTCCGTCAACTTTATCCTTCCCAAGATATTCAGTCTGAAATCATTCGATGAATGGTTCAACACACCATTCGCGAACTCGGGTACAAGGAACAAGATCGAGTTGAACGAAGAAGAGGCACTGTCCATCATCCGGCAGTTGCATAAGGTGTTGCGGCCGTTATTGTTGAGAAGGTTGAAGAAAGACGTAGAGAGCGAACTTCCGAATAAGATGGAAATTATCGAAGTCCGCATAAGCGCCCTGCAGAGTCAGCTATATAGGCAGATGAAGAAGCACAAGATGATCGCCAATGGAAAGAATACGAAGGGGTACATTTTTTTTACTTTCGGCGGAGCGGGCGGGACATAGTGCTGATTTTTTATTTTCTAGGAAATCTGGAGGTGTGAAGGGTTTGGGCAATGAGTTTATGCAGTTGCGCAAGATCTGTTAACGTTCGAGAGCGCCGAGGGCAAGGTCAATACCACCCATTATAAATTGGTCAGGTGCACCGATATACTAACGATACGATCAGGATTATCCCGATTATTATCAGTTGATCGCACATCCCATTGCCTTGTCCACACTTCGAAAGCGGGGTAACACTGGATATTACAAAAGCATCACGCACCACAAAGAGGACTGGAAGCTCATGTTCAACAACGCACGGATATATGGCCAGGAGGGTTCGTGGGTGTACATAGACGCTGAGGAGATGGAGAAAGTGTTCCATAACATTGTGGAGAGAGTTACTGCTGTGACGGGGCTACCTAGCGCCTCGCCAGTTCTAGTGAACCCTCGAGAGTACTCAGCACTCAGGCTCACTCCAGAGTAACGTTGCGGGTGTTCAACTTGTTATTGAGCAATTACATAACTTGCCATGATACAGCAAAAGTTCATGATGTGATCATGCATCCAATATGGTTGATGCCGGATGGTACGCGTACCGTATGCGTACTAGTAGGTCTGGAATTCAACTTCGACATTCTCCAAGTCGGATTTTCGTTAGTGCTTACCTTAAACTTCCTGTGCAACAGCCTTGTGCCTTCCAGGTCGGACCTGCAGCCAGACAAGCGCCCGCTTATCTTTTCAACTCAGCTGCAAAGTTCAACCACGAGCCATCTATCGACCTTGAATATAATCGCAATCAGCCGTCCATTCTATCTCAAGCATCCTGTGATATCCCTATCGTTTCACCATCACAACTTAGACCCTTTTGATTTTAAACGAAGTTACAGCTTAGATATCGTCGCAATCGACTCCTCAATTAACGCCGTATGTTGTCCCCTCTGAAACATCCATCACCATCGTGATTTCTAATTACACCGTTGAACTGAACTAGTGCTTCCCCGACTTGACCTGTTCCAATTCCCATTTTGTGTCGCATTCTATCATCAACCTCTGTCGATAAGCGACTAAGATCGATGTAAACATCTCCTTCCTTTATCGCCTCTCCCGCTCTCTGACCCGACTGACAGAGCTTCTAGCAATGGCCGAAGGAACTTGGAGGGAGCTGTCCAAGGTCGCTGTCCTGGGTGCTGAATATAACTCCCCTGAACGCCAGCCCCATCCGAAATGTTTGAAAGAGACCCGAGTGAACTTTCTCAAATTTATCTACGGATTGTTGGACAAGCGAGAGAAGAGTCAGCTCATTTGGTTGCATGGCACTGCGGGCGTCGGAAAATCTGCCGTGGCATTCACTGTGGCCGAGAAGATGAAAGGTCTGATGATGGCGGAGACGACGAAAATCGAAACAAGGCTCGCAGGAACATTCTTTTTCTCGCGCAATAACACGGAGCGCAGCACAGCTGGTCGTTTCTTTGTGACCCTTGCTCACCAGCTTGTGATCAATTTTCCCAGCGTCCAGAACGACGTGAGCAGAGCTATCCGCGAGAATCCTGCGGTTCTAAACTCCAGCAAGTCTCTTCGCGACCAGATGATGGCGTTATTCTGCCGACCTCTCAGGCACCTGAAATACAGTCTGCGCGAGTGTCCGCCTCCGGTGTTTGTTGTCGATGCCCTCGATGAATGCGAACCCAATGCCGTCGCCGATCTGATCTCCCTCCTCGGGGAAGCTCTTCGTGATCCTGAACTTCCCGTGTTCCACATTCTGCTCACGAGTCGCTTGGAGGAGCATATCGGTGAAGCCATGCGAAGTGAAGAAATGCCCACACTGGTGTATGAGATACCGGTGAACACTTCTGGGGAGGGCGTTGCTGGCGCCATTTCATTAGATGGCGAAGATGTTGACAATGACATCTATATCTTCTTAGAGCATTCTTTCATGAAGCTGCGAAGTCGCCATCCTGATTGCCCTCGGCCCACTGCAGATAATCTTACGCGGCTGGCGAACCGAGCTGGCAGACGTTTCATCGTGGCATCTACAATGATGAAGTTCGTTGATGATGGATACAATGACCCCCGGGATCGCCTTGAGCTCATGCTCGATCTAACCAATGAACTGCTACCTGGGACAGAAGTGTACAAGCTGTACGACCGCATCCTCTCCACCTGTTCGAACCCCAATCGGGCATACCAGCACTTGTCCATTGTTGCTGCCCTCGCAGACCCTCTGCCAATCTCACAGATCTCGAAGCTCCTTGGTCCTGGTCAAGGCAACGATGTCGCGACCACACTGAAACAGTTACGTTCTTTCATGAATATTCCCGCTGACAGCAGCGAATCCGTGAATATCTACCACTCGTCCATTCGGGACTATGCTTCAAACTTCTCAAACTGCAGCCTCCATGAATTACGACCTACTTCAGACTTTTCAAACTGCAGCTTCCATGAATCACCACATTCCCTGCTCGCTTATTCGTCTTTCCGCTTGATGATCGACCACATTCCAAAACGCACTGCTCTCATGGATGCATTCTTAGAACTGAAGTCGCAGAATCAGGCTATGGAACTTCATGACCCCCGGAACTTGCAACAATCGTTAGACTTCATCGTTGAGCCACCAGAGCCGCTGACGGTTCTCATGGCACTGTTATGGCTTCGGGGAGCTCGCGGGTCGGGTTTGCGATCCTGGCTAGAGACTTTGGACGGACGTGTGTGGCTACAGACCGAATGTGGGGAAGACTATTTACGGACACAGAAGGGGGAAGATTGGCTGCAGACCCGGGCCGGGAGAGATTGGTTGCAGACTCACGCGGGACGCACTTGGTTGCAGACAGAGATAGGGCGAGGGTGGCTGCAGAGTGGGCCAGGGTGGTTGTGGACTCAAAGACGAGGACAATTCGCTGGAGACTCTGGCGAGGATATGCCATTGGAGACGTGGAACGGGAAAGCCTCTTTGGAGACCTTCAGCGAGCAACGCTGGCTGCAGACCCAGACCGGGCAAGAATGGTTGCAGACCCAGGATGGGGGAGAGTGGTTGCAAACCCAGACTGGAGGAGAGTGGCTGCAGAGCCGACGCGGGGAAGAGTGGCTTCAGACCCCGATCAGCCAAGTGTGGCTGCAACAAACCCCGAGTGGCCGAGAATGGCTGCAAACTCAGAGGGGGCGAGAGTGGCTGCATATCCATGGCGAGTGGTTGCAGACCACGCCTGGACGGGAGTGGCTGGAAAAAAATGGACAAGAGTGGCTCAACACCGAGAGTGGGCGACAATGGCTGAATGCAGATAGGCGGCCAGAGTGGCTGGATACCGAGAGCGGGCGAGAGTGGCTGGACACCGAGAGCGGGCTACAATGGCTGGACACCAAGTGCGGACAAGAGTGGTTACAGACTCAGAGTGGGAGGGAGTGGATGGATACACCAAGCGGGAGGAAGTGGCTGAAATCACGGAGTGAGATGGCGCGACTGAATACACAGCACGGGAGGAAGTGGTTGGACACACCGTGCGAGAGTGAGCTGCTGGACAGGAGGGAGCTGCCGGACATATCAAGCGGGAGGGACTGGCTGGACACATCGAGCGAGAGTGAGCTGCTGGACAGGAGGGAGCTGCCGGACACATCAAGTGGCTGGACACATCGAGCGAGAGTGAGCTGCTGGACACATCGAGCGGGAGGGAGTGGCTGGATACACCAAGCTGGACGGAGTGGCTGAAATCATGGAGCCAGATGGTGCAACTGAACACACAGCATGGGAGGAAGTGGCTGGAAACACCGAGCGGGAGGGAGTGGCTGGAAACACCGAACGGGAGGAAGTGGCTGAAAACACCGAACGGGAGGGAGTGGCTGCAAGCACCGAACGGAAGGGAGTGGGTGCAAACGCCGAGCGGAATGGAGTGGCTGCAAACGCCGAGCGCAAGGGAGTGGGTGCAAACGCCGAGCGGAAGGAAGTGGCTGCAAACGCCGAGCGGAATGGAGTGGCTGAAAACGTGGAGCGCAAGGGAGTGGCTGCAAACGCCGAGCGGAAGGAAGTGGCTGCAAGCACCGAGCGCAAGGCAGTGGCTGCAAACGCCGAGCGGAATGGAGTGGCTGAAAACGTGGAGCGCAAGGCAGTGGCTGCAAACGCCGAGCGGAAGGAAGTGGCTGCAAACGCCGGGCGGAATGGAGTGGCTGCAAACGCCGAGCGGAATGGAGTGGCTGAAAACGTGGAGCGGAAGGGAGTGGCTGAAAACGCCGAGTGGAAGGGAGTGGCTGCAAACGCGGAGCGGAATGGAGTGGCTGCAAACGTCGAGCGGAAGGGAGTGGCTGCAAACGCGGAGCGGAATAGAGTGGGTGCAAACGCCGAGCGGAATAGAGTGGGTGCAAACGCCGAGCGGAATGGAGTGGCTGCAAACGCCGAGCGCAAGGGAGTGGGTGCAAACACCGAGCGGAAGAGAGTGGCTGCAAACGCCGAGCGGAAGGAAGTGGCTGCAAGCACCGAGCGCAAGGCAGTGGCTGAAAACACCGCGCGCAAGGGAGTGGCTGAAAACACCGCACGGGATGGTGTGGCTGGAGACACAAAATGGGATTGAGTGGCTTGCGACCCAGAGTGGGCACGACCGGCTACAGACCCTAAATGAACTACAGACTCCAATTCGACATGCATGGCTGGACACCCTTCATGGGAAAGAATGGCTCCTGACCCAGAATGGGCGAGAGTGGTTACTAATTCAAGACGCGCAAGAGTGGCTCCTGACCTCAAAAGGGCAAAAATGGCTGTGGACTCCACGCGGACGAGAGTGGCTGCGAACCCCAGGTGGGCTACAGACTGAACATGGCCAAGAGTGGCTACGGACGAAGAGTGGACAAGAGTGGCTACCGGCCCTGAGCGGACGAGAGTGGCTGCAGACCATAGGTGGACGAGAGTGGCTGCGAACCGAGAGAGGACGAGAGTGGCTACAGACCCCTCATGGTCAAGCATGGCAGATGACTCCTGCAGCGTCTATCTGGGTGACAATGGAAGAATTTTCGAGCACGTTGGAAGCAATCAGCGAGTGCGCAATCATCCCACAATTACCTTTCTCGCCAGCTTTGCAAGTAATCCAGGAGTTTAAGAGCTTACCAGATTTCTTGATGTTTCCGGCATTCCTGGCGTTAAGGCCCCAGGATCACTCTACCTCTTTATCCCTACAAGATTGTCCAGACATCGAGGTCATTCATACTATGACCGCGTTCACAATTTTCGCAAACGAAGCACGGGATCAAAGTCGATTATTTTCGGACGCCATGAAGTATGCATGTCAAAACTGGGTCTTCCATCTCTCGCGAGCCCCGAATCCAACGGACCACCGTGCATTCAAGGTCTTCTGGGATCGCCACCTTCTCTCCTGGCTTGAAAGGCAATGGTGTTTGAAGGGCTTGCGGTCGTGCATCCTTATGTTACACGAAGGGCAGAAACTTGCAGAGGTGTGTTTTCAATGATTTTCGTGTATTCGGCACCTGACCTACGCACAAAGGAACGCCTCATCGGAGTTACAGGGTCATCTCAGTCCAAAGTCTGAAACTGTCGATTTTATGTACTAGATGCCATGGTGTCTTGTTATCTTGCATTGTTCACGTCGATCGCTTGTGTATTTTCAGAATTTGCAATGTTGAATATTGAAGATTGAAGATTGAATATCGAATATCGAGGCCTTGATGTTCCAGGTCCGCGCGCGAACTCGTAGGAATTGAATAACATGAAAGCTCGAAGAAGTTTACGAAACTCTCCGATGATGGCGGCCTTGATTTGATTTCGTCGACGTCTAGCCAGTTGGCTGCGAACTCTCTATCTTGGCCATCCACGCCGTAGCTAATAAGCAGACTGACAGAATGATCACTCGAACCCCTGCCGAAGGCCCTCGTCGAAACGACTCGAACTGTAAGTGGGGCCGTGATATGTCATAGTATCTGATCAGAAGACAACTTCAAGTTGAATCTTATTTCAATGAACGAAGTTATCCTTCCCGTCATGTTTACCACACGCTAGATGCTGAATAAGATGGACAATAATCGATAATTGGCTCCTGATCTTGCATGAGCTGGTTGTTGACCCAGAGCAAAAAGGAGTGGTTGCTGGGTCAGAATGAGCGAGATCGGCTATACACAGACATGGCAGTCAACCTCTGCTACATCTCTTTAAATGTCAATCATAGTTTTCTGGAACACCGGAAGTAATCTGCAATCTCATCCCGGAATTACTGCCTGAGTAGTCCAACAGTTATAGTTCGAACGTTCAAGCCCAAATCCTTCACCCACGCCAGTATGGTGGTACCATGCCAGTAAATTATTGAGTTGCAGTGGTGCCAACGTTCATATACATACTCGCAAGCTGGACATAATGAAGAAAGAACGACTACTACGGGAGACTAAGACTTAGCATGTCACGGTATTGGCACACAATATTACGGTCTTCAAACGATGGGATCTAGGTCCTCGGCGTTACAGCTGTTTGCAAAAAGGTTGACAGTAGCGACATTTTGAGAAAGAACAAAACAAATAAATAATAGCCACATACATACATCACAAATTGACCATCATGTATCGGAAAATCAGTCGCGACGTCAAACTAGCTGCAATCAATCTTCACGAGCATCAACATCTTGCACTCGAAGACATTCTTGCTTGTGTCGGATTTTCAGAAAGCACGTTCTGGCGGATCCTCAAGCTCTGGCGTGAAACTGGAGACGTTGTTAGGCATACATTTGGTATTTGTGGTCGTCCTCGTACCCTTCATTGCGACGATGTACTATATCTCGTCCGTCTTGTTCACCATCGCCCCGAATGGTTCTTAGATGAGCTCCTTCGACTTCTCGATACCAATCGCTTCATCTCTATACACTATACTACCATCCACCGCGAACTAACACGCGTCGGCATTTCTCTCAAGAAACTGAAGCGGATCGCGAAGGAGAGGAATGAGGAGAAGAGGATGAACTTTCTCATTCGCATGAGCCAATATTCACCAGAGCAGCTTGGTTTCCTTGACGAAACATCCAAAGATGAGCATACTGCAGGGCGGCTGCGTGGATGAGCAGCTACAGGCCAGCGTGCATGTAGCCATCAGGTCTTTGTTCGTGGGCAGCGTGTCTCTGGACTAGGACTTCTGACTGTAGATGGCATTGCCGCTTCGAGTGTTGTCGAAGGCTCATTCACCACAGTCAAATATCTCGAGTTCCTTCAATCTACGGTGGTATGTCACTGATTCTAACTCTGGCAAGCACTGCGAAGCTGACACAACTTAGTTGCCAATGTGTTCACCTTATCCTGGACCTTTGTCCGTCCTCGTAATGGACAATGCGAAAATACATCATGGAGAGGGTGTTGCGGAATTGATCGAAGCTTATGGTGAGTCACCGTGTCTGATCTAGACGAGTTTTTGAACCATTGGGGATAGGTGTTCGCCTTGAGTATCTCCCACCCTACTCCCCAGATCTGAACCCAATCGAAGAAGCTTTTTCAAAGATTAATGTTACGACAAGCGGTCGTGTGCGACTAGGATGATCTAAACAGCGACAACCACGACAGTGGTACCGAGTGCTGAGAGTCGTCGGCCTTTACAGACAAGCAAAGGTTGCGTACTCGAACGTAGCTCGTGGTGGTTAACGAGGGGTTACGCTGAGATGATAGCAGGTTTACAGACAGTGAGAGGCGTCACTGAAGGTACGAGTCGATGTCGAGCAGGTAGCTTTAGCGGGACAAGGAGTTCAAGGGAAAAGCTAGTTGATTGGACTAGTTTCTGGGTAGTACCTAGTAAGATTAAAGTAAGGAACATCTACTTTAATCTTCGACCTTATATAAGGCTACTCTATCGTGTCTAAGCTCAGCTCGAAGCTGGGTTCTAATCTGCTTATCTACATGAGTCAGAGATAGCGTCCATGAGGCGGGCTTCTATCGTAGATAGCGTCCATGCGGTACGCTTCTATCAGAGATAGGATCCACGTGGTATCCTTCTATCGTTATCTAAGGCAACACGAGGCTTGCCTTCTATCTTCTATCAGTCCATGAGGCAACACGAGGCTTGCCTTCTATCTTGATAACATTAATAGGTCTTCTAGACCTATGTCGTCATGTATCGTCACGTGCGGTCCAGACCGCTTATCTAAGCCGGCAGTTGCCGCTTATCATCTATCATCATCTATTGTTATCTGTCGTCATCTGTCGTCATCTGTCGTCACAGAGCCAGTGATGCTCTGGTTATCGTCTATAGAGCTGGTGAGGCTCCGGTGTCGTCTATAGCCGTGCGGGTGGCAGAGGGCTCTCTGCTGGCGGGGGACTCGTGCCATGTTACTGTAACAATTAAGGCCTTCATCCGTCGCTATCAGGACTACTTCCTTGCATCCAATAGTATTATATTTGACATGTATGAAGCCATGAGTATTGTTACGATGTCTGATGCAGCAGGGTACTTCATTCACGCAGGATACTTTTAGTGACAGCAGAGCAGTAAAATTACATCAAGTCCAATCAGAACACTTTTGATACAAGTATGACAGCAATACAAATCTATGTACTCAATTCATGGTCTGGTTCTCGACACGCTGGGCTTCACATCTCTCCATTAGCCCACTGTGCAACTGCATCCTTCATTGCCGCAATCTCGCCATTCTTGAATCCCATTTCTTTCAGCTCCGAAACGACAATGTATCTGATGGTCCGTGTTCCTGTATATCTGTTTTCCGTGAGCTTGGCATGGATGTCCGGAGATAGGTCATACACAGCACAAAAGTTCGCAAGAGACAAGTCAGGGCCAGGCCGAGCAGAGACAGGAAGAACAGGCATATCAGCACTATTGACGAGAGCATTGGTTCGACCAGGAGTGGTTGGCAAGGGTGCTGATGCAGGCCGTAAGAATGAAAAAATGTCATTAGGAAGGTTGAAATTGATTGTCGGAACAGTCAATGTGGATGGGTCTGGAGTAGATTGAGCAGTGTTCCGTTCCGCAAGGCGTCGCTGGATCAAGGGTGCAGAGTTCGACAAGAGGTTAGAGGACAATGTATCGAATTCCTTATGGTTCGGTGGCTTGTCGAGTGTCGTGATAGGTGGTTTTGCAGCCTAGTAACAACAAACTATTCAGCGAGTGCACTCTCCACATCATTACCTCGTGTTACCAAAGCAGCGGCCCACACGCTCAAGTGCCGATGGCTTGGCGTGAAATGAGCATTGTTATCCGGTAGGATATAACAATAACCAGACGTGAGACAGCCAGGCTTGTTGCAGGTATAGCGATTTTGCAAAAGTTTGATCTGGGCAGAGAGCTCGATGTTGAGAGGAAGTTCTTTGACCAGCTTCTTCTGTTCGAAAAAATTGAGTATTGATAACTTCAAAACATGATGCGGGAAACACGACACGATTCAGCTACCTTCTTTTTCTTTTTCTTTCGCTTCTGGCCGTCGCTGTTGGAGCCACTTGATTGGCTGGTGTCACCAGTGTCACTGGCCTTCGCGCCATCCCCTTCTGGATCGCCATTCTTCCGTTTCTTCGACTACAAAACCATCACAAGATCAGTAGCATATATGCACATATTTACACGAACTGCTGTCTGGTCTTTCAATGCTTCGATCAAAAGCTTCACGGCAGGGGTCTTCATTCTGACAGCACACTCGACAAGATGTTCATACTCGGCAGTTTTTTTGAGGGATAGTGGCGCTGTTTGATGACGAAGAATGGTGAACATTATCTTGTAGTCGTCGTAATCGAGCTTCTTTGGTTTCAGGCTCTCAGATATACACTTGAGTATCTGGGCCTTGAGGGTATCGAAGGGTTCGTCCTGGTAGAGCTTGATGATCGCAGTCTCTTCGCTCCTCTTCGTCTTTGGTTTCTTCATCTGTTCAAATGAGTACATGACGAGGGAATATGAAATCGTGACATTTTGAGGTGCAGGAGGAGCTAAGCGAAGGATATTCATGACAGTCCTGACACCCTAAGCCTGTGGTGAACATGGCATACCTTCTTTTTGTTTTCGTGGGCGGCCAGGTCCACGTTTGTCGAGTACGTCCACTGGTTCTGACCCGTCAGGGTTTTCGTCTGCAACAACAGTTTGCTTCCCAGAGTCCATGGAGGAAGACTGCAACATGTCGTCATCTTCTGCCATTGATAGTTCACCATCACTAGAGAAGCTGTCCGTGAATATCGAGTCCATTGTTGTGAGTATATGCGTGCGTCAAGCGTTTGCAAGTATATGCGCGACGCGCGTGTTATTTGACCCTATGTACGTGGCTATTATTTATTTGTTTTGTTCTTTCTCAAAATGTCGATACTGTCAACCTTTTTGCAAACAGCTGTAAGAGCAAGTCTCTCGTTTTGCACGTAAAATAGTTTTTTCTCTGCGACGATTCCCTTATGAGCCATCTGGAACTTGGCATGCATATCCTTCGTACTGCCGGGAACTTTTTGAATGAATTCTTTGACCTCCAAAACCGCGCGTTTGAGGGCATCGATGTCCCGGGTACGATGATCTGGTGAGGAAGGCAAGAAGATAGGGAATGTCACTAGCCTTTTCATAAAACAGTTGTCGCACCAACGAAGTTTAGTAGATTGCCTCGTCTTGTGAACATGTTTGACAAGACCACTTGGAACCTTGATGGTATCAAAATCGAGAACAGCTCGCAGGTAGCCATCCAAGCGAGGCATTCCTCTGGCGGGAAAAAGCATCATATGCTCAACAACGTCGTTCGCGAGTTTTTGATAGTATGCAGGGTGTTGAGGTTCGTGGCTTGCGTGCAGATGAATGACTCCGAGTCCGGTTCGACGCCTTTTTTTACAAAAACTTATGAAGATCAACCAGTTCGATGGAAGAACGGCACCGTGCAGTGAAATTTCGTCCAGGGTGGGATCCATTCTGTGATTATAATGAAAGAGGAAAGGACATCCTCAATTCAGTCGCATAGAACGGATAGATTGACGCGTATACGATATGCCTGAGGGATTTTGAGCATGTGCATATAAACACAAGGCGTAAACTCACAGTAGAAACAGAATTCCAGATGATATACTGCTGGGAGTAGCTTGCTACGATCGATGAATCCATAAAGCCTGCAGTAGCAACATTCACTGTATGCATAGTATACAGACAAGTCTGTCCGGAAAGTGCCAGGCGGTCTGTCAAATTTTCAAAACCTGCCGTATTATGTCATATCCTGGCGTCAGCCTCATCCGAGACACCAATATTCATCTGCCATCAACATGCTGCCGATCGAGTTTCCAACTCTTAACACTCCAGATAAATAGAATCGAGCTGCGTCATGGCCATCATGGGATATGTATAAGATTGACGTCATTTGTATGGTCTTTCGTCTGATCTAAAGTTTTATTACTCTCCGGAAGTCGACTCATGGTTCTTTGAAGTGGCCACTATGTAGTTACCGCGTTCTCCTCCGAGTCGGACTGACCATTGCAATTGGAGCAAGGTTAGCAACACGTCCTGCCAGGATGCCTATTCAATTTTTCACTAGGTTCAATTCTTCTATTCCATACACTTTCCCACCGGCTGACACAGTCTATATACTCTTCAGGTCCTTCCCTGCCCAATCATTACCTCCGAGCCGGTTGACCTCTTCATATCCAATGTTGGCTCAACATTTCAGCGTTCTGCCACTGTGACTCCCCAGAACATTGCTTTGAGTTCTTCGAGCCCCTCCAGGTGATAACCTTAATTGTTTTTCAAGTACTCTAATAGTTTAAGGCTCGACCACTAGTGCTATCAAATTTTGCAGCGTCAACCACAGGACCGGTCAGCGCTGTGCACCTTCGATACTCGATAGCTCATTCACATCTAAAACGTACCATTCACGCAGATGCTGTTTTCGCGTGATAAGATGGACGACAATTCACACATATTAATGTATCTATGTCGAAGCATGTGCAGAGAAATTCTTTTGACAAGATGAGCCGTGCAGCGGTAATCACTTGTACTATATAATGTTAGATCTATTCTTGCACTTTCTCTGCTGGTTCACCGATGATCGTTGATCTTGCATCTTCATCCATCAAACATGAAATCTCAACTGGGACGTCTCTGGTGAAACCTGATGCCTCTCGCCACCGCACCAACTCCATGATACATATCAAATATTCTGTGCTAACCATTTCTAGAATCCTGATGATACGATAGACCCCGATTTCCGCAAAGCCGAGAGGGTACACATGAAGCGACAGATGGTGATGAGATATTGGTAAGCTCGCAGGACTCGACATCATGCTGATGCAATGTACATTTGTTGAGTGACTTCGGATGCACTGCTATGTTCCCGTGGCTGTGCTGGCGAGACGAAGAGGAGATCTCAGATGACAGGCTTTTCGATGGCCACACCATGATCGGTATGTGTCAAACAGACGAAGTGCTCGCATTGATGGACTAATGTGCGCTTAACAAGAACATCTGGAGAATGGCATCAGAAACAAGGTGTCAGGATCACAAATACTAGTTCTTGATCATCTCGTTCAATCTTTCATGCTGTGAAGTATTTTACGGCCAACATCTACTACTTGAGCCCCTGGATTGATTGACCTTTCTTTATGCAAAAATATCTACTTCGGCTACGGCCATCATCCCTTGATCTCGTTTCAGTGATCCGAGCATGGGATGGTGACGGTATAACTAGCGCGAATGCTATCGTCACACGTCCATCAAGTCCGCCTCTCACCCACACCCATTCTCTACCAATATGACCATAGTCTCAGATAATCCCTCTTGGTGGCCGACCATCAATGCAAATCGTTTTATTAGCTATTTTGTAGGTCTGTGGAAAGCAATTGGATGTTGAAGTTGACTCAATCTAACCTTGGCTGCGGTTTCGCAGTTTCCGCCTTTGTTGGAGTGACATATGATTGGGGTGAGTATGATAACATTAAAGGACCACTGGTATCTTACAAGTATTTTCAGCACTTACATTCGGAAAAGAGGTATATCAATGCTATGACCGAAGCAGTCATCTTGTTACTAAGAATGCTTTCATAGGTTGAATTGGTCTGGGTGAGCGGAGTCTCGTATCGGAGCAACACAATGAATACGTTTAATTACAGAGGCAACGTTGGTCCCTAATGACAGTTCTGTATCTCAGTGTATGTAGCTTGTTTGTTATGGCTGCTGTATTATGCTGACTTGAAAGTATCCTAGGTGCGCTACCTTGGAATCTTGTTTGCTGTGTAAGTTCGGAAGGCTAAACATCCGGTGCTGTGCTGATTGTCTATATCTTAAAATTAGCCTGACCGTACTAAGTATGTCTCCTTAATATATTTGCTATCTTCGCTTCTTCTGACCGAAGGCATACAGACAGTATTCCGACCATCTCACTGACAGATACAGTGAGTCTTCTGCACATATGCCTTCTCCTCCAATTAACCGTGATGGCATGTAGCAGTGGGCATCGTTCTTTACTATCTTCTTGGTTCATTAATGACCGCCATGCTATACTGCCACAGATGTGAGTCTGGAGTGTGCAGTGCGAGGCCGATCACTGACTGGATACATCAGGCTTTATTATATACGTTGTACAGAATTGGATTAGTGTCTTGGTATTTGCAATGCTGATATGTGAGTTTAACACTTGCGAAACCTCAGTAATATTGATTATACTAAAACATGCTGCAAGTTATCATCATCATTTGGTTATATGCTATGTATCAACGATCCAGAAAGATCTTGATATTCCTCGTTGTCACCTTCTTGGCTAACAACATTTTCGACGGTGTGACCGCCGTAATGATGACCCTACATGTTTCAGGGGGTACGCTTGATCGTGGATGAAAAAATGTGCATGTAGCTCAATGATGAATACCAGAGGAACTCATTCTCTCCGGCACCTATCAGTGCTCGATTAACTATGTGACAGAAGATATCCCACTTATGGCTTCCGTAACTTGGATACTCGGCACTGTGTTGGACGTCCTCGCACTATGTCTTGGAGTCTGGATTACTGTAACACACTTCCGTGAACTGCGGCGACATTCCACAGGAGGGATTATTGAGGACTGCTTCACGGTGCTGATGAAAATTCGCGTGGTTTACTTGGCAAGGTGAGCTCATATTATAATTTTTGTTCTTTTTTCCACTAAAGGATGAGACATGCCTGCAGTGTTGTTGTGTTTTCTTTCTTCCAGCTCCTTGCTTTCTCTCCGACATTCTCAACAGCGGTATGTCAATCTTTCACTTGCTTCTGCATGCTACCATAGCTTATCATTTCTATAGGAATATTCCCTGGGCATTCAGCTTTATTTTGGGTTTCTTCAGATTTTGAATATTGTGCAGTTGTGTGTGCTGGCACCCCGCCTAATCCTTGGTGTTCGAGATTGTCATGCTAAACTCGTGACCGACTCCGACGCAGCAACCAGCATGACCTCGATCGCTTTCCAAGAGCATGTACATATATTAACTAGCAGTAGTGTATGAAGGAAGGCAGAACTGACACCCTGTAACAAATTATTCAAACACCTTAAGACGGCGCTATCACCTTCGCATTTAGTTTGGACCAATGTAAAGTATTGATCACACATACTATAGAGTAAAAATATGCGATATAAGAATAACCCCGTACTGTGCTATACTGCACCCCGCAGGACAATGAACAAGGAATCCAAAAACAACTTACCTACGCACAAACTTGAAGGAATGCCTCATCGAAGCTACAGGGTCATCTCAGTCCCAGGCCTGAAACTGTCGATTTCACGTGCTCAATATTTGCCATGCTGTCTTGTTAATTGTCATCTTGCATTGTTCACGTCGCTCATGTATTTTTAGAATTTGTAGTGTTGAAGCTTTGAAGAGTTTACGAAACTTTCGATTTTGTCGACGTCTTATATACCAGTTGGCTGCGCCCATGGCATCTTGGTCATACATCGTAGCTAATGAGCATACTGACAGAATGATCATTCGTTCGTTGATAGAATTGCTCATTAACTGGTGGTAGTTGAAGCGCACGATCGCAGACAATCTCAGTCATCCGAAGCGATCGGAAGCACGGACTGTAAGCTGGGAGCCTTGGAGTCAAGTTAGTTGGCGTTCTTTCTTGAAGTTTCATGTGTCATCCTGTGTCCGTTGACGCGGACGGTCCGCTTCGCATGTTCAATGCTGTTATGGTATACATAATACGAAGCACTCGCCGCGGGCGAGACGGGGGCATGAGCGCGATTAGTTGTTGACCTAGAGCGGAGAACAGTGGTTTCTAGTCAGAGTGGGCGAGATTGGCTACACACCGTGACAGGCATGGCGGTCAAACCCTGCCGCATCTCTTTAAATGACAATCATAGTTTTCTCGAATATACCGAAAGTAATCGGCGAGTGTGCAATCTCATCCCGGAATTGAGTAAATCAATAATTCAAGCCTGAGTCCTTCATCCATGCCAGTATGGTGGGTATCATGCCGGTAAATTATCGAGATGCAGTGGTGCAATCCGAGTCGTTCCTACTCGCAAGTTGGAGATAATAACTGAGAAAGAACGACTACTAGTACGTACGGGACACTAACTTGACTAAGCATGTCACGGAATTGGTACACAAATATTCAAACAATGGGATCTAGATCCTCGATGTTGAGAGCAGGTCTCTCGTTTCGCACGTAAAACAGTTTCTTCTCTGCAACGATTCCCTTATAAGCCATCTGGAACTTAGCTTGCATATCCGTCGTGCTGCCGGGAACTTTCTGAATAAATTCTCCGACCTCTAAAACCGCTCGTTTGAGAGCATCGATGTCCCGGGTACGATGATCTGGTGAGGAAGGCTCTAGCTTACCGCGCAATTGCATGCCTTTTTTGAGGAGCAATCTGTAAACAAGACTGCACGTCAATCATTGCATGACGCTGGGTAAGTTTTGACTGACGTGATCTCGCTTCTCTGCCTGCCCAACTCCTCAAGCTTTTCATGAGACTCGGTTTTGAAAAGGTCTTTCGTCTTTATTTTGGCAGCGTGAGTTAGCGCAATGCCTTGTTCCAGGCACGCCAGAAGGTGGGGCAATGGTCCGAGGAAAAGAAGACGGTAATAACTTGGACGCCATTTAGAGGTCCGCGTCTCCTTGAGGCATGTCGTGAATATCGCACGGAGTTCTGCATCTACAGCAGAGCCTGAACGTCGCCAAACGTGATAGCGATATGCATACTGAATCGTGCGAGCTGCAAAGACCTGCTCTTCCGATGGCCCGTTGGAACGAAGGGACTCGTCTGGCACAGGATCAAGGGATGTGAGGGATGTGACCGCCTCGTCCATATCTTCCATGTCATCAGTGGCCTCAGAATCAACAATCACTGAAACTTCTTTCTCCTTTACTTCCTCTCTATCCGCCTCCTGGGGCACCAGATTTGAGTTCTCCTTCTCGGCCGGAAGAATCTCTACACCATCTTTGGGACGCTGTATGCGAGGCACGAAGGCAGCTGCCTCCGCTCTCAGCATAGACTGTGCAGCAACCATATGCGAAGAAAGAAGATAGGGAATGTCACTAGACTTTTCATAAAACAGTTGTCGCACCAACGAAGTTTGAGTAGATTTACTCGTCTTGTGAACAAGTTTGACAAGATCGCTCGAACCCTTGTTGGTATCGAAATCGAGAACAGCACGCAGGTAGCCATCTAAGCGAGGCATTCCTCTGCCGGGTAAAAGCGCCATATGCTCAACAACGTCGTTCACGAGTTTTTGATAGTATGCAGGGCGCTGAGGTTCATTGCTTGCGTGCAGATGAAGCACGATCGCATTCACTTTGCGCTTGACCATAGGGTACCGTGTGTTGTGAGCAACTGTTACAATAAATTAAAAGTTGTTGGATGACGAACAGCTGGAGCAGACGCACCAAGGCAGAGTGTTCTACAACTGTGGATGTGTAGAAATGAATGGCTCATTATTATATAGGCGGTTAACTGGACTTACAGCCGGAAGATGAAAATATTGCGAAGTAATGGTGTGATATTGGTAATATGGGCAAGCCACAAAGAACCTGCTGATTCGTGAGCGTTAAACATGGTCTGCGGAGCGTGCAAAAGTTCTACCCATGGCACTACCCACGCGCAATCTCTGTATTAGATTCCCTATCGCACCCAAGAGCGAGCTTATTGACTCCGGTTCGACGTCTTTTTTCACAGAAAACTTATGGGGGAAGATCAACCAGTGGGATGGAAGAACAGCACCATGCAGTGGAAGTTCGTCCAGGATGGGATCCATTCTGTGATTTATAACGAAAGAGGAAAGGATATCCTCAATGCAGTCGCATAGAACGGATAGATTGATACGTAAACCGTTGTCGAGGACATGCCTGAGGAATTTTGAACGTGTGCATCCAAATACAAGGCGTAAACTCACAGTAGAAACAGAATTCCCGATGATATACTACTGGGAGAAGCTCCTTGGTAAGAATTGAACATGTCCACCACCAGGTAGCGATTATCTGGCTGTCGGAGGAGCTCGGTAAATGTATTTTTGGGGACAAGCTTTGCCTGAGCAATGTAGGTGGGAGCATCATTCCGGTCGAAAGCAAAACTCAGACTGGTGATTCTCATCAAGGTCGTCAGAAATTGGGGGCTCTTGGATGGGTTCAATCTATAGAAAGATTCGCGAATCCAGTTCTTCACCACTCTCAAACCAACTAAACCATGTGGAATGAGGGTCAGGTCGAGGTCCGCAAAGGAACCTTGAATGAACAAAGGAGGAGCCAGCGCCTCATAAAGGTGTTCGAGCCAGTCTCTCATGCTAATGACAGTATCAGCGTATACTTCAGCCACAGACAGTACACTGGACGCACCTTTCCCATTGTTTCGTACTAGGATGCGCGGAGTACAAGAGTTGCAATATAAGAATAAGCTGTATGTGGATCGCAACGTGGGCGTTATACTGCACGCGGTCCATATTCGATATCGCAATGTGGTTCTGGGGGCATTGCTGTCTTTGACACGTCCCGGAGACAATAAATGGCAAGCATTGCAAAAAGACTGGAGCGTCGCAACACATTTTGTCGAGTTCTAAAACCTTGTCCTTCAAAACAGTTCGAATGGACAGATGGATCAATTCTGTCGCGTTTCTACGAGAGGCCTTATATCCAGATTGATGCACCGAGACCAGACGGTGATTCCGAGGATTTTTTGTTACGTTGTCGTACAGGAATGTTCCACTCGGTATGAGAAACTCGTCGCCCGATAGCGGTACAATTGATAATAGTCTCTGTACATCGCATTCGCGGCGCCCTAAGGGGTCACGCATGGTCGAAGTTTGATACAGTAGTCGCGCATAGGTATGAAATGTTTCAAGAAAGCTTGCCATTTCATGGAGTTGGAAAGGACGAATGTCTGCCAATCGAGTGAAAAAGTGATCCAGACAAAGGAGAGCGGCAGTGTGGTGATCATGTTCCTGGAAGGTAAGGGCAAGTTTCTTCAACGACTCATGATCTTCTCGCAAGATGCCCTGAAACATCAAAATCTGCATACAGATCAATTAGGTTGGTACATTTCAACAATGTGTGGTATATACCAAACGACAAGTCATGGGCTCCAGTTTCTTCGTTTGTAGCTGATCAGTGAGGGCCATAGCTTGCTGGACTGAGTCGTCAACAATGGCGGATTTTGGGGTGATCCCGAATGAACATTTGCGCCACATGAATTCCAAAAGAGTGTCAGCAGCACGAGCAGCTGAATCAATGTGTATGTTGTCCTTGAGGAACGCTTGTACTGCTTCGATGAGGCGGTTCTCTGATAGGTGTATCTCCGCGACCTCATAATACATCGAGTGAGACTCCAGAAGGGAAGCACGAGCACAGTCCAAATCGTATTCTTCCAAAAACTCGAGTTCCTCATCAAACGAAGAAGAGAATAGTGGCACAGGGGCTCTACACAATTACCGTGAAACCAAATCACAGTAAGTTTGTGGTTACTTACTGATCGTTGCTTCTGCTGCAGTAATGAAGCCGACATACCATCCACAACTCTGTTGCGGTCTTCTCAGGGATCACGGCGCGGTGGTCAGTAAGGACATGCAGTGTCCTGTCAAATGATCCACCCTTGCGATAGCTCTTTGCAGCTAGCTCGAACTCTTCAGCTTTGAGATAGTTATCAGCAGCTTTGAGGTCTTGTCCTCCTCGGATGTAGCAATACGCCGAGGTGCGGTAATATTGACGTTTCTCATTGCCCGTAGCAGCTGCAGCACATTCAACAAAGGCATCTGCTGCCGCAGTAAAAGCCCTTTGTTGAACGTTAAGCAAGGCCACTCCGACACTGGAACGCGCTGCCTCCCGTAGTAGATAAGCTTTGCAAACCTTCACTTCGCGATGCATGTCAGCACGCTCGAAGCAATGGATAGCCTGTGAGTAGCGCTTGTGGAAGAACAGTGAGCGCCCGGAGAATGCCCACTCATCCGGAGTAGAAGAGGCAGCTAGAGGAGAAATATCCGTGCTTCGGGCACAGGTGCGGATCAGATTTTGAGACTCCCAGAAAATCTGAGAATAGAGGATCATCAAACCAAGTAGCGCACAAGATGGCGGGTGGTAACGCACGCGCATAGCATCAGACTTGTCAGATGTATCAAGGATCCATACGTTCTTCCTTGCACGGGTAATTCCCACGTAGAGGAGTTTCAACTAATAAAAGTAAGTGATATGTTTTCCTCGATTGATGGGCAATGTACTTGCCTCACTACATATTGCAGCGTACCGAGTTTCGTCACGATAAAAATCAGGCGCATATCCTTGACCCTGCACCCCGTTGAGAACTACCCGCCAGCGTGAGGCATCTACGGCGGAATCTCCGAAAAAGTTGTACAACAGAACCTGGCGGCAGTAAGTCATCCGTCAAATAGTTAACGTCAGCTTTCTCACATCGTCGAACTCCAGGCCTTTACTGTCGTAGAGCGTCCTGAGCAGACGCGAACTTAAAAACCCTGGAGCACCGATAATTGTGAGACGACTCACATTATCATACCAATATCTCCTACTTTGTCTTGTACGGTCTTGACCGCTGCTTCGTTCCGCACAAGTATGCCTATAAAATAACTTTTCAGAACATAGCGGAACCTTTAGCAGAGACCGTTTACACTGGCGGGCTCCAAGCTTTGGGTTACTAGCACTGCGAGAATCTCAGCAGGGGAATGATGAAGATTATGGCGATGTACTTGCCTCTCCCCAACCAAAAACCGTTTGAAGTGAGCGTCATTATCCAAGTGCGTGAAAAATACTGGCTTCACTCCATCAACTACCCCCTTTTCAGGTTGAAGGTGATCAATTGCGTTTGGCCAGAACTTCGTGATGAGTTCGATGATAGAGTGAGCACATTTCACGATGCCATCGTGTGATCTGTAGTTAATACCCAACTGGAACATCGTTGGTTGATGCACAGGAACTCCAGTGGGGGTTACCGAGCTACTGTTGCGCTGTAGGAAGATATCAAGTCACACTCTGGGATACAATCACTGGTTGCTAACCTCCATACGGTAGACAAATGCTTTCAGATCGTTGAACCTGAAGGAACTTCCAGCAGAGATCGTTTGCGCAGTATCCCCAGCCCAGAAAAGACTATTTGAATGCCTACACAGTCGCCTCAAAACTAGAACAAAAAAGTCATTCACGCCCTCGTATTGAAGAAGGGGAAAATGACTTGCCCAGCGCATCGATCAGAAGATTGTCTTGTGCCTCATCGACATACCTGGTATAGTCGATCAGGATCTAGAATTAGCCGGACGAGAGAAAACATACATATGATCAACCTGTTGACCGGGAAATTTTTGATTTCGCAAAGCCTTGAGTATCGCATGCGTACTGTATGGAATCAATTGTGGGGTCCAACGAGTCTGAGCAAAACGGCCCGTACCGATCCGCCACATCAAAGTGGCGTTTCTGCTTCTTGAATTTCATGTAGATCTCGAATATATCATAGAGCGTGTGTCTCTGGTTTGCAAAGACTGGATTGGAGCGACAGGGAAGACAAATGTAACTTGGACGGTCGAGGAATCCATCCGGAAAGCTCAACGCCTGCTCGGAGCCTTTAATGATACCTGTGAGGAAGTTCAGGAACTACTTGGTTGGATACGAGTTTAGACTTGCCCATAAATTCGCCGAAAACCAACCATGAATCTGGGTAGGACGCATGAGTGCATCATCTGACAGAAAGGAAGCAGTTTTACTAAGGTTCTTGGTCAGACCCTGCGGAAAATGCGGCCAATATTGCTTTTCGAATACATCATAGGTGACAAACGAGTCATGCGCTTCTGCATCATTAGTGTCGAAGAACAGCTCAGCGCTACGCCTCGTCTCTGGGTCGTCCATGTTGAAGATATCAGCTGCGATCATCCTTGCTAGCTACACAAAATGAGGTTCAAGACGGTCTGTGAAATACATGATGACATACTCGATCAAAAGTCACAAATAAAGGGAAGTGTTTGTCCCCAAGTTCGCTGTATCTCGCTGGTATGTTCATCTGTGACTCGGGAGCATCGTCAGGATCAATAAGATCGTCCTCCATGCTTTGTGCCTTAAGTTTCGCAATTTCGGGCAGCGTATAGCTTGACATTGACAGGGACTCGAGAAGCTGTTTGAAGTATTCTTCTACTTTTGTCGCCAGCATTCTAGATTTGGTGACAAAGATTTGACGTGGCTTGAGCATGTCATTGGCACCCAGCTCCCAGGCTCGCTGAATCCTAAGAATCTTGAACAGCATTGTCGTCGTTTTTCTGGTGGCCCATGAAATAGATAAGTGAGCGATGTCGAACACAAGGCACTTACCCTGTGCCACTGCGACCTAACACATAGCATGACGTAGCGCATTCGACGACCTTTTGTTCTTGAAGACTGAAGCAATGTCAACCACTAAACTCATTTCAACGCATTGAGACATACGAGAGCATGAAGACGTGGTGTACATCGTGGTTTGCAACGAGACTTTTTGCAAGAATGAGACGATGTGGATGACCAAGTACAAGGTTACTCACTATGCAAAAATGCCTGAGGGCGCAGTATCAAGTCATTCTACATCATCAAAAAACCATACAGATAAACGCACTTGCGAGAATGTAACATATTTCTCCAGGCTAGAAAATTATCAATCATCATTCATCAAAGTGCAAAATATTCATTCATACACGAGCAAAGAGTGAAGCTGCACAATAGATCAATCGCTATGCTACCAAAAGATGCAAACACTCAACGTGCTCCATGTCCTTAGCACCAAGATCCAGTGGGCTTGCCGGAATTTCTGGTTGGGGTTCCGTCGGCGGGAATGAGGCCGGCAGGATAATATTGTTAGTAGGTTTGGTACGAAATATGCATCTGATAGAACAATTACTCAGTAAGTCGCATGATAGATGACAGGTATGCTCAACCGTCTGCGATATTCCGCACCCCTACGTGCGAGATGGTTCCCCAAGGCATTCCATATTCTCCCGAGCTCAGAGTGTCTGTATATCCCATATACTTTGATGACTGGTATTCGTGTGAGCGATGATGTCCATTCGTGGTGCATGATGGCGCACCTTGTCTCTCAGACTATCAAGAACCAGTCTCAGTATGCACTAGTCTTGGATGGAAGAATCACGTACCTCCCCACCCTGGTCAGGGACGCAATCGATCTGGTACTATTACAAAAATAGGTTATCTCCTGCCTAGAGGTTCTAAGAAATGACGTCTACCACCAGTCGTAAGTCTTTGGTCATCTTGGCTTCGAAGACAGGAATGCCTGCATCCGGCCCATTGAGTCTCTTGTAATTGTCAGTTGAGAATTGACCATGCGAGAGATGTCTGTGGTAATCATAAGATCAGCAATATAAATGTCATCAAAAGACAGACTTGATCTTCTTGTAGATAATCTTGAATATTTTTTTATCCGCTCGGCGATGTTCGCGTAGATGTTTATATGCCTCAGTGGATATGAGGATTTGCCAGTCGCCGAACCCGTCCGCATTGTCGAAGAAAAGAGCAGCCTTCATGGGTTGTACCATTGGATACGCACTTTCTTCTGATGGGCTCTCAGCGTCTTCGGGGAACGAAACTTCAGGCGCAACATCTTTGGCAGACTCTTCCACATTTGGGAAGAGCAAGGCTTTGATGTCGCCCACTAATTCCGTCCTCCGCAGAAGCGAGAGGTAAAACTTGAGGGAGCTATCAGGAACGTCGAAAAGTACATCACGAAGATACACACCGAGAGGGTTTTCTTCAGTTCTGCAAGTATATCGGTGGACAATGATGTGGCCGCCTGACTCGTGGGAGGCACAGCCATGCCAAGTTTGATGAAGAGTGATGCATCGATAGTTACACGAGCATTCTGGCAATTACGCTTGCGCATGACTTGAGACGCTTGCATGTTGACAACTCTGTCGTCAGATTCGGCGCTCGTAAGCGACTGTACATCAGCGAATTTCATAGCGCTCAATGCACAAAGCACGGGGTGTGCGCCCTCAATGAAGGCCCGGTAGCGACCGATATCCTTCGCGACTTCCCTTGCCAAAGACTCGATTGGCAGGGCGAGAGCGTAAACGGACACATTGTCCAGTATCTCGCATGCAAGGGACGATCGGTACTCTTGGGCGTCTGTGGGAAAGTCATCCACTATTTGTGACACCATTTCTGCAGAGCGATCCCAAACTATTAAGGAAGTTAGTTGATGGCATGGAAAAGAAGTCTGCGAGATACCAGAGACGATGTATGCAAAAATACGAGGGTGAGAGAGTAGGTGCTCGATTGCAGGTTGTAATCCGTTGTGACCTCCTAGAGCGTCTAAGTGACACAAGGCGGCTCTGAGGCCTGTTTCGTGAGCCAATCGATTGGTTGAAAACAGTTCCGACATGGGCAGCGTGGAGGAAAAATTTGTCATAGTAAAACACAGAATTTGAAGCTTAAACTTGAACTTGAGCGCTTGAGCACTTGGATGGTTGGTTACCAAAGGTTGGGGTGTAAAGGCGAGCTCCTCAAGCGTAATTTAAAGCTTAGCTTGAACTTGTTTAAGGCGTTGACGTCATATATGGCCCAGACCTTCGCAAAACAAACTTGATCCAACGAAATCTGGATTTTGAGAATACTTCTAGTTTTTTTGGAAAGAAGAGCGCCGTCCGAACCTAGTGACATGTTCGATATTCATCGATACGAAGTACTTGAATGCGACTCCCGAAATGCAAGTACAGAGCAAGCGGCGATGATACACTAATACTGCCGACATTTCAAACTCATCGGACTTTGAAATCATAGCCACGGACTTAAGTGTTACTGGTTACTTGGTCAATAGGGAAATTTCTTGGCATGATCCTCGTACTTACCTACTACCTACTGGCGAGGCGGATCATCATTCCTAGCCGAAGTTGACCATTGACACCTGGATCTGAAGGGCAGGAATCGGTTGGCCAACTTGGAAGCCAGCGTGACACGGCGAGTTGATCGGATGGTTGAACGAGAAGATAAGGAACTTGTGTCGGAAATTTCTAGGCACCATTGTAGGTCCCTGGTAGACATTTTAAGGACAAATTTTCACATAGGCCATTATAATGCATGCGGATGACACACGATTTTATTTTAAGACCTTATAATGGTTGCCGTCGTCCATTGCAAGGCATTTGGATGGCTGTGTCATGACACGTGAGACACGGGCCTTGAAAGGCATTGTAATGCTGACATCAACCTTGAAATAGAAAAATAATAATTTAATGATCCACGTGATCTTTCAACACTTTCAACCGAACATTAATTGTTGTACTACCATTTTATTTGTACGACTATCCTATTTATGTTACTATCTAATCATTATCTAGTACTATTATTAACTACTGTCTATCTAATCATGATCTATACTACTATTATTAACTATTGTAATGTACACTGGTGGGATTCGAACTCTAGACTTTGACCTTACCAAGTAGAACTGTAGTATTAACTGGCATAGTTACCCCTTAGCCAAACGGCCACATATAAGATGGAACCCCAATGCTATATGTGCACATTATAAGGTCCTTATAAGGCAACATAATGTCTTACCCAAAACTTAAGTTGCGGTTGAGGCCATCAAGTCTAAGGTTAAAATTGTAGCATTGCATATCAATCAAAACACATCTGACATCAAGTATGTAGTCCTAAGTACGAGGAGAGACTGATGTAAAGTCCAGAGTAGGAATAGCTAATGATAAGACCGAATAATAACAACCAAATGCTCTGAATCACCTCGTTGTTGGTTTCTTGCTGCGTGTGCTAATGCGTTTGGGTTTCGGAACATCTGGTACAGCAGCAGGGACAGGCTGAGCTGAAATACGACCCCGACGCCATGCTTTTCCACCTGCTGGTTCAGTCTGCGCTGCCGAAGAATCACGATCAGTTAGCGATAACTGACTAACATCCACCTGTAGCTGCGTAGAAGACACGCCTGGCACGTGGCTGGCTGATTGACATTGATGTTGAGACAATGATACAGTCATCCTGGGTGGTAGGATCTGCAGGTGCTGCAGAAAGAGCAGAGAGATTGGAAAGAGCCGGCGAGGGTGCAGCGGAAAACAGGAAGAGTTGGCGAGGGTGCACGAGCAACAGGATTATCCAATTCCTCCAATAGGTCATCTTCCCAGGTGCGAGGGATGGAGGCAGAGGGTACAACGGATGCGGGTGCACTCAATAGCGCTGCACGGGTGTTGAAAACTTCCTTATTGAAGTATTCCATCACGCCAATTGCCCATGGAGAGCTTTTGAATAAGCGTTCCAGATAGAAGTCGTAATCCTTCTGGTAATCGATCTTCGTCTCTGCTCCGGTCGCAGTGAGCTCGGTATCGTGCGTTAACAAGAAACGTGCCTGTGAATGAATAATCAGCAATGATGCAAAGCAAAGGACGGACAATGATAGAATACTTACCAATATAGCAGCGCCAGCAATCATACCCTCAGTAACACTCTGCGCACCCATTCGCAGACCCCTGCCCTTTGGATGGCCCCTTGTCTTCCCACCAAGTATCGCCTTTCCATACACTTCAACGCGAATAATCTAGTATGAGCAATAGAGTTAGCCATCATACTTGGACATTGATCAGTGGCACTTACTTTGACGAGCACTGGAGACTTGAGGAAATCATCGGCTGACATAGCATTGGGCTTCGCAAATAGCACAGGTGCAAGGCGGATGTAATCGCCCTCTCCATTCCTCTTGAGCAGGACAAGGAGATCCTTGTTGTCCTGCTTTTTGGAAGGCTGGTCGGCAAAGATGCTGGGGTCGAGCTTGAAAGGAGAGAATATAACACCTGCACAATCCTTGATACTGTGCAGAATGTTTGACCTCTCGGAGCTGACTGCCGAACGAAACTAAGGCCAACAGAAGTATCAGCGTGAAATTTGGCAGTGTTTGAATCATAAACTTACCAATGATCCGAAACGTGGATAGGTTTCCATGGAGGTGTGCAAGTCTTTAGGTATGATCTGATACAGCTCAGCCATTGCACCTTTAAGCTTCGCATCGGGAGAGCTCCAACGTGTAGCGGCGCGTGGGTCGACATTAGCAGGTTGAGGAGAAGTCGGAAACAGACCGTTTATGACCCAGAAATGACTAAACAGGGTATACTTCTGTCCTTGGTGGGTGATGCTGGAATCCAGTGGAGACGTCTTCTTGAGCATGCGGTTGCGGCTGCGAGCAGGAATTGCAGATGAAAGAGTGAGATACTGTTTCTTGAGGACCCGTAGTTCAGAACGTGTTGCATGGTAAGCTTGCTGGGCTACCGCAAGGGCCTGATACGTAAGAGCATATATCAGATGATGTTGTAGACTAATAAGAATGATATAAGTGTCGTGCCTACCTTTCGAACATCATGCATTTGTGCATCTGGCCCAGGGACAGCCAGGACCGTCCTTACTGCATCCAAGTCGCTCCCAGATACTTCACCATCAGATCCATCAGAATCAGAATCATCCGAGATGGCAGTAATCTCAGCCTCGAAATCTTCCCCAGCATCCATGTCATACGGCATGACAGTGTCTCTAAAACTGAGTGAGAGTGAGTGAGTTAATGGGACGCGAGGATGAAATACCCATTGCCCCACTTTATATAACATGCTCCGGGGCGATGCGCACCGATGGACTCGGTTCCAGAACAAAGTATTACGTTGAAATAGAAACATGTGGACCACAGGTGTCGATTTGCCGAGGTTGCTGGTCCTCGCTAACAGAATCAGGCGATACACACTTACGACAACGTTGATAATTGTACATCAGTATGTTTCGCTAATAAGGACCAATACATATAAGTCAGACTCACCTGTAAGTGCTAGGCGATTCTGAGCTGAGGGCGTCTTTGGTAAAAAACACACGCGTGTTGTTCGGATATTTCCTGTGAACATAATGAGCATTCCTATCCTATCCAATACTGAGTAGACTTACCGGTCTAATTTGGAGGCTGGTTGAGGCGTCTTGGTAAAAACGCACGCGTGTTGTTTGGATATCCCTGTAGAATATTATGAGCATTCCTACCTAAATAATAAGTAGACTTACTCGTGTAAATTTGGAGGCGTCTTTGGTGAAAACGCATGCCGTGTTGTTCGGATATTTCCTGCAAGACATGATAGCATCCTATCCAAATACTGAGTAGACTTACTCGTCTGAATTTGGAGGCGGGTTTTGAGGCATCTTTGGTAAAAAATGCACGCATGTTGTTTGATATTCCTGCAGAACATCATGAGCGGTCCTACCCAAATACTGAATGGACTTACTCATATGTGTTTCATTCGCAGAAACATGTCACCGTCAATGTGATCAACAACGAAGTATTCATCTTGATGCTCAGAATCAGGGACTAGAACAGCTCCTCGAATGAAAGATTTAACGGGACAATATTGATGACGACCTCGGGACAGCCTTGACACGAGTAAGCTTGAAGGTGGAGTCTGTTCTGCGAGGACCGACTCTAGCAGTGTATGGTTGAACAAGTGCGAATTCGAAGGGCCCGAGATTCGAAATATGACATCTGAACATGAAAATTAGCTGGACGAAGGCTGTTTCCTCAGCGGTCAGTTGTATGAGCGCGTGATCGAATCGTGGCCGCCCATGGAATTTGGGGGTTGCACCGAAGGTGGTCGGTATTTTGCCTCCAGTCCACAGCCGACTCATAGTCACCTTGAGATAGCGGTGCTCGTGAATCTGTGTACCATGTTAGTATGATGCATAGACAACTTGTACAGGATACTATTAGCATACCTTGAAATCGCCTGGATGTAACCAACTTGTCAGTTGATGGCCATAGGTAGGCAGAGCATTGTTGATGAATTCACTAAATTTCCGACGAAAAGATTGAAACGCACGATCCGTTTGACCACGACTCTCAACGCCAAGGATGTCTAAGGGTGGCACCGGAGAGCCAAGTTTCACGTGGCCATTAAAGGCTACAGGAACATCAATGTCTTCATCAAGCCCGCCATCGCCGAGTGCCTGCCAACCGGCAGTGTTCATCAAGCGTGTTGACACGTTCTCTCAGAAGTTTCGAGGCGAATTTGTGGTGATCAATACGAAGTATCTATCAATACAATTGTGTATGATGTGAATCAGTCTGAGTATAACACAAATGTATCTTGTAAACTTACTTGCGTCGCGGTATCCTTTCCATTCGTTCGACGGTGATAGGTGTCCTTTGAGGGGGCCATGAAGCTTCTCGTTCGGACGCGTGCTGTAGTTACGTGCTACTCCTTAAGTCGGATATCACGAACAACATGTTTCATAGGTGGGTCTTCGGAAAGTTCCAGTCAAGCTTCAATTTCTCGACCTCCGACTCTTCAGCGCATGTAATATAAGCCTAGGAATGAATGTGTCGTGTAAATGAGTATAATTAGCTACATAGACAACAAGTAAAGACTAAACCTTGAGCTCAGCATCGAAAACTAAGAGCTCGGCGTCGATCGCTGCAAGTGTGCGCTCAGTATGCAAATCCAGACCGATCCAGCTATCCGCTGGAGATAACTGCTGATAACGCGAAGCGCTGGTGGCCTACAGGACTGGCTCTGTGCATCAGGATGTTCAAAGCCGGATATAATGTTTGCTTCAAGATAATGAGTGATATGAAAGATCACAAAACAAGCCAAAAAACTTACCTTAGAGAGGTCCTGGTATTTGTTGCCATCAGTGAATGTAATGTTGATAACGGATTCGAAATGAGTGAGGTGGCGCCATCGGGGAAGTTAGCGATCCTGTAACTGTGAGAACAGGATAGGTGTGAATACAATCGACCACTTACGACTTCTCGAATGCTTCTTGAGCCTCACGTCCAAGCGACGCGAGGATTTTCTTCAATTCTTCAAGTAGGTGCTTCCACAGACCGGCGTGCAATGAATGCAGCCGATCTAAACTAAGTGCATCGTGGGGACTCGAACGCAAGATGAGCCAAAAAACATTCTAAGCTTCATATTAGCAAGGAATGAGTTTGAAACAACACAAGTGCGTACCGCAACAGGTCGTAATCCGAGCGCTTTGAGTATCTGCTCGCCTTCAGCTTTACTGCACCCATAAATACGGAGAGCTTCTTGTGCTTCTTCCACGGTTCTGATTGGGTAGCTCTTTGACAGGTCGTGGAGCTCCGCTAATGGTACTAGGCACACGGGGCAAGGGCATTTGCCACCGCGGCCACGTATCAGCGACATCATGCACCTGTTGAATGAAATAGGTTAGTATTAATGTAAGACCAATAAGAAAAGAGCAAAAGGCCATGAGCGTGTTTACCCTTGAAGGCACCAGCAGCGACGAGATGGAAAACGAACTCACTGTTCTTCATAGTCAGCCGAAAGAATCAGTATCACAGGAAACAGCCATCGCGGAATGCCATTATAGCCCTTGTGTGAATATCCAGTCTTTGAGTGCTGGGCGACATGTTCCAGGAGCTTGAAAAATGATTCATGCCACACAACGCGCTTCAACGTTGTGTATCCGAGTTTTCCTTCTTCGGCTGCATCGTCAGGAACCTGCAACATGTAAATTCAACAATCTGACATATATTGAGAACGAAACAACTCACAATAGGCAACCATCCGACTACACGACCACCACCAAACCCCTCGCCATTACGGATGTCTACAGGTAAGTTTGCGCATCGGACTACAACTGGATACCCTTTGACGGTACCATGAGACGACAGCTTCGACTTATCAGCGTAGAGAATGAAACAGAATGGGACAGCGTTTTCAACGTCGGGCGGAAGAGAAGACTATTGGTTTGACATTTATATACATTTACACACGATATGACACAGTTAATTGTAACGCACTTGAATATCCCACCACCGATCTCCTGTCCAAGGTTCATTGAAAAAGCGTTCGAAATCCGTACCGTTGTGCTTGTAAACACGGCAGGCATCCCACACGAAATGCGGTGCGAGCAGGGGGTTGTCCAGTAGATCGAGGGCCCAATCCCACACAGGCCGTGTGTGGACCTCGTATTCTTGCTCCTTCCTCTTGTATATCACAGGGACTTCGTGCTTTGAAAACTAATGGCAGGTTGCCTAAGGCATTGAGCATATGATCATGTAAGTAGATTCAGTCAGACACACCGGTGTTAATTCAGCCGCAGCATTGTCCCATGCCCTCGAAAGATCTGTCTCATTCTTCAGAGTGATTTGAGCTTGACCTTGAGCGATGCGCGAAATGAGTTCAAGGAGGGCATTTATTTGAGACTTATTTAGCGCAGCATCAAGCGCAATCTCAGAGAATTCGAAGTCCCCGCGTGACCTGAAAGGACGCCATGGTTCCTCGTCAACGGGTGCGTGCTGCATCTCCTGAGTGATACCGAATTCGTCGAACATCTGGTAGAGAGTCGCACGAGCAGAGCGAGGGTGATACTCCGTTTTGAATTCGCTGGGCATTTGCACAGATGCCGCATGAGGCTGGACAACCGTGGGGTTGCTAGCCATGCTGGCATCGGATAGTACTGAGCGAAAACGATGGGTCAGCAAGATGCAGTAGATTGTAGGTTAATACTTACCGGGGCTAGTTGGATTCCCGTGTTCATCCTCGAGTTGGCTATAGTCGAAGTCTTGGAGATCGTCGATGGGGGCATGGTGAACTTGAATGTCATTCGATGGGCCAGCCTCGCTGGTTGCAGCCTTTCGGCGAGCCTTTCGTGCTAGAATGCAAAAGATCAATTAATATGACTCAGATACAAGGTGATGGTGCGATGAGTCAAACTCACCATTTTGTTTCCCCTTCTCATACTCCTGGTTGAATCGATGTCGCTCCTGCTCATTTTCGATCCGTTTCTTGCAGCTAGCCTCATGTTTCTTGAAGCCCTGCGTTTTGAATGACTTGCCGCAATGAGTGCACGGCAGCTGGGCCTTTAGCGTCTCTTCTGAATAATGGTACTTCTCTCGACGAGAAGTACGAGTCGGAGCCATCAGATGTAACAATATGAATAGAGTGTACAAGTGTACAATATTTACAAAGAGGATGGGACAGCTGGCCGCGAGGCTGATGCGGAATGGAACAAAGTTATGCGCCGATAGCACGTTACGGTGCATTATGATGATTGTCTCACGGTCGAAAGGCCAT